CGTATGCGACGATGATGAACGTTTGCAAGAGAAAAATGCGATACATCGGACGCATCCTTTCTCGGCATACACAAACTACGAAGTTGCGACGACGTTATAACTACTACGTTTCATCATCATTTTATGGAAAACCAAGATAATTTCGTATTCGAGATAATAGCAGGACTTGAAGCGCGGGTAGAAATGATTTGCCGAGTTTGAAATCGTCCATAATATCCATAACGTCGATTGACATGACAGCATAATCACAGCGACTACATACTGTGATACGAACCATATACAGGGTGCATCGTTATTCCAGTCGTTTATCTCTTCAGATTCTCCTACTGATGTGGGATTGAGCCTTTTTCAACGAAGAGTTTATTTAATTAAAACAGCTTTTGAGATCTGTAGGCGAATATTGCGTTAAATAATTTATGCGACAGTCAACGTGTTAAAAAATTCTCGGAGTGAGCGCAAGACACCCCGTGTATGGCGCCATTCATTTTTCAATTTCAGAGTTCTCCACTTCCTGTCTCTATCCTTTGTCAATTACCTGAACTCAAGTCTGTAACGATCGATTTGTCTGTCTTCCTATTCATTATCTGGCTGTTTTCCACGAAAGTATTCATAGGAAAGTTTCTCGAGACTGTACTACGCTTCAAAGTGAATTCACAACTTTATTAGACCAAATTTTAGGCTGGGCAAAATTACATTGTAACGCGTGCTGTCCTTTCGCATGAAATAAATATACGATAATGAGACACTAATGAATGTAACTAATTATAACTCACGAACGACTCGTGAATATTTTATTTCCCGAGGCGTAACAGTTTACGCGGACAAATTAGGTTTGCTCGTGCCGGCCGTCTCCTCCACGTCACCGCTGCTTACTCGTGTCAGCTCACTCGTTTCTTCTCTGCAAGCACAAAATTATAATAACTCTCTCAGACACGCTAAGACGTACTCGAGCGTTAGCTTACCTCGTGAATCGATAGTAGATGATATTCTCGACAACGCATATTGCGCTTCCGACGAGTACACCGAAAGCTAACAGAATCAAAGCCGGAGCGGTCTCGTATACGGATATGCTTCTCGTGGACAACGTGTCGAGCGTGCATTGAGGCTTCCTGCTCGACCAGTACTTTATCTGTCGATCGCGTAACCCGGTATTGAACATCTTGGATAGCCTGGAGAAGAATTTCTTTAAATGCTACGAAAATCTTCGTCGCAAGGAAAAAGCAAACGAAGGCTTACCCAATTTTCGCCATCTCGGTGAATTGACCGTTGTGACTGGCGTACATTCCCATGACAGATTGTTTAAACAGATGGATCTCCGTCAATGCGCAGATCTTGCTCGGCTCAAACGTCTTTTCGATGTAGGGATACGCCGTGTTGGGATCCGTGTGATAGGCCAGGGTGCCCTCGCTGACTTGCTTCATACCCTCCTCTATCGGCAAGTATCGCTTCGACTCTGGCAGAGGATCCCAGCGCTTCTTCCTGAAGTAATTTGATTCTGAGCTAAGTTTCTGAAAATATAAAGTCGAACGCTGGTATATGGTCTTTCTGAAATACTCCGCGCGTACGATCTTAACGTGTGTGTGTGTGCCTGAAAACATGCATACGTATAAAAAGTAGTTCAGATATGGCACAGCTTCCGCCGCGATTTTCAGATTGCTGTCCGCGAGAACCGTCACGTCATCCTCCATCATATCGAGCGGTTCGCTCAAACGAGCCGACACTATACTGCCCGAGTAATAGTTGTACATGATCCAATTGAACACAAGGATCTGTAGAAGAGCGATACGGCCGGGAATATGGTCAGGAAAAAAATTTGCGCCTATGAAAGAGATTATTATTAAATTAAGTCGTTAAACAAGACGACACGTTTGCTACGCGTTATTTTACCTTGTTGAGCGGTAATACCGATAGTAAGGACCATGGCGCCAGAATATTTCTCCTCTCTGCTCGCCTCCTCGCGTTTCATTATTACTCTCATCACGAAGACGAAGAACACTATAAATACGGCGCTCAGGTACCAGGTCTGAATCGCAAACGGTTTAAAGAAAATCTCAAGTTTGATGTCGTTCGACGAGGTGGATAGCAGCATGAAACAGGGTCTACGAGAAAAAGATTGAACATTCATTAAACGATATGTGAGATTGATATGATCTCTTAACGCAAAACGAAGCCTCAATACCGAATCGGCCACGCCGCGCCGATCAGAGAGGCATAATCTAATCTCTCGGACACCATAATCCTAGGATTACTGCCAAAGTCGATGTAATTTGCTTGTAAGATCTCAAATATCAAGCCGTGCACACTGTGACGATCCCAGTAAATAATCTCCGTAGCGTATACACTAGAAAAAAAGATATTTTTAGGACAATTTATTAGCTGCTAAAAATACAGGGCGAAAGCCTGTTTTAGAATACCTAAAGTTGAAGAGATCGGCAGTATGAGATATCATCGCGTACACAAATTTATGCATACTGTCCAAAGATCTGGTGTTAATGTCTAGCATATAATCTTCCAACCGCATGTTTTTCGGCCTATACTGTATCTAATGATGGAGCATGCGATAACAATAATATAATGTAATTAAACGGTTTTCTTCTATAAAGCTACATATTATCCAGTGACACGCACCACGCCCGACATCTTCAGCGTCATACCGTGCATATTAGCCCTTCTCTCGATCAACGGTTGGGTCAGGGTGAAGGTAAGACCTTCTTCTGGTCGCCACGAGCCCAGCTTCGTCACGTTCAGCGTACCTCCGCGATACTTGCAATGATTAAAAACGTCATAAAGATCGTAACCGCTACCATTCGTTATCGCGAGCGCGAAATCGGTCGTCATGCTGTAAGCGTTATCGTTCAAAAGCGGCACGCTGCTGTTCAGCTTCGATCCCAGGACCAACCAGTGGTACGAGTAGTCGTACATACGAAACTTCGAAGTCTAATAAATATAAAATATCAGTCTCTTCTCCCTTTCTTCCTTTTTTTACATGAGAAAATTGTAAATATCGCGAATAAGAATAAATAAGAACCGATTTTATAAAGACTTTACCTCGGCGAAGATGGTCACGGCGCTTTCGTTGTTACAACGCAAATCCACGACGACTCCTAAGCTCCAGGCGTCAGTGGTCAAGAATCGTCGTATGTTAATATCCGTATCGTGTTTCCGGATAATCGTGTATATACCGGCTCTGCTTAACGACTTCAAGAAATAAAAATCACCTGCAATGAAATGAGAAGAGACACGCACCAAAATCGTTGCTAAGAATCATTTATGAATCGTATGCTTTTATTAAATAATTGCTATTTTGAAAGCTCTTCACCTACTCGTGAAATCTCCGCAAGAGAACCCCACGACATTCCGCACTGCCTTGGTTACAAAATAATCGCGAATAAAGTCGCTGTCTCTCGCGTTAACGTTACAAGAGAATTGCAATGCAACAAAAAAGAATGCCACATACGTTACACCGCGCTTTAATTTCAGATTATACATATTGCCGTGGAAAAAGTAAATGGTATTGCGGATTTTATGTAACGTTGAGCCTGCACGCATGAATACGAATAAACGAAAGAGATAATGGAAAAAGTAATACAGTTCGATTGAGTTTGTCGGTTGCGACATGCTTTGAATTTTTCAGCATCAGTACGATATTAAATGTGATATCTTGAAATCGTACGTCTTATCGTTTATTTATCGTTCCACCGCTATGACATTCCGTCGGGGAATAAGAACTAGCAAACGTGTCACTGTCGAGCTACAGCAAATCGCACACAATGGTGATTAATTATTTGCGCGAAGATCTAATGAATAAAAACACACAAGCTATCTGTGATAAAATCTAATTAAACAAGCGTCAGAATGGCATCTAGAAATTATTATTTGGTTATTCGCTCGAAAGTACGTCCCGCGAAATAGGTGTGGTCCTTGTCATTGTCGGAAAACATAGTTTCTTCCATAGCCCGTTAGCATTAGATGCTGATAATCTGTAAAAAAAAAAAGCGATCAAACGATCAAATAGAAAATTTCAAGTTCGCTATTCTTTTTTTTAACTTTTCAGCTTTTTAACACTGATCGTTACCGCGGCCATATCCAGTAGACAAAGTTCTCCATTATGCATATTATAAGAGATAGCGTGGTGGCGATGCCGATAAACAGAAAAATGGGCGTAGCTTCCTGGATCGACAGCGGTTCCGCGACTAGCATACTTTTCGGACAAAACGGTCTTCTTGCTGACCAGAATTTCAGCTGTCGCTTGCGTAAGCCCATATCATATATCTTGGTCAAGCTGCAATAATAAACATTGGAATAATAATTTGCTTATTCCTAGAAGAATTAAAATTTAAACAATGAGGTATGCGTAAGTGTCTACTTAAGTCGCCGTAATACAGCGATAAGTATAGCACTTTAGAAATAATTATTTTAATAGTAATTGTAATGGTAATATTAATTTTAAACGTCATCTAATTGCGTATTTTCCTACCCGATTCTCAATAGCGGAGTGAACGGGCTCTTGTATCTGCCCCAAAGAGCGAGAACCGCACGAAAAAGATGGACCTCCGTCAGCTCGCATATCATTCGCGGATAGAAGTGCCGTTCGATGTACGGATACGCGGATTCGATCGATGTGTGATAAGCCAGGCCGCCCTTAGCCACGCGATCCAGGCCCTCCGCTAGTGGCAGATAACGCTTGGATTCCGGTAGTTTGTCCCATCGTTTCGCGTTAAAATACCGTACCTCTTTCTCCGGGGTCTTTTAGCAAAAGACGGGACGAGAGATATGCCGATGATGCAATAAAAAAAATAACATTTTTTGAATAAAATGATATATGATTTTTTATTATATAATTATTGCAGTTCTTTTTTTTAATCAAATTAATCATTGGCCAATGGGCAGCGTGCTAAAAATGCTGTAAAAGCATCCACCTGTAGAAAAGAACGAACGTACGGCGTTGGCTCGGCTGCTACTTTCATATTACTGTCTGCCAAACTGATCAACGAGTCATTCATCTTCACGCCTACGTTTTTTAATCGGTCGGACACGATGCTCGCCGAATAATAGTTTAGGATTAACACGCTGAAAAGCATGATGTGTATGAATGCTATGCGACCTGCGTAATGCACCGGAACGAACATGGAACCTGTGAATAAAGTAAAAGTTAATACCGACAGCTTTTCATTGCCAATGCGTTGTTTGACTAAAAAGTTGACTAGAAAATTAACGAAGAAGCTGTACTTTGTTGGGAAATAGCGCCTATTGTAAGAAGAATAGAAATGTTGTAGCCCTCCGACATGCTGTGAATGCCTTCCTGTTTGACGATCAATATTACCAGGATAGACGCAGCGACTATTATCGTGGAGAGTATCACGTACCAGACCTTGATATTCAACGGTCGCAAAAATTGCTTCGTCTTCATGTTTGCTGAGGATATCGTTCGGAACAAGAAGCACGATCTGCGTAGAAACAATTCGTTCGTAACATCGATCAGCATTTCGTTATCGCGTGTATCACGAAATTACGTACCGCATTGGCCATACTGGACCGATAATATCTCCTGAACGTAATCTTTCCGCCTTCATCACGATTGGACTGGCCGAGATGTCTACAGTTTTCTTTTGAAAAGCGACGAACATCGGCGCGGAATTGTCCTGCCGCTTTCTCGGATCCACTTCCACGATTTCTATACTTAATTAAAATAATTAAAAAGATATTTTCATACTTGGAAAAAAAAAAGAGAAATACGCGAGAGAAATTTGCCCGTTCCAAAAGATTCTTACGTGAAGTTAAAGAGATTAGCCATGTGCACCAAGATCGTGTACAGGAATTGGGACCGACCGTATTTCGCTTTCATGTCTTGATCCAGCACGATATCCTCCGTGGACAAATTGTAGAACCTACGTGGCAGCTACGAGATTTCCGGATAATGAATTAATCACCAGTTGCCGTACTTACTAGTTGAGAACTAATTGTTTAGGTACTTACTAAGACTCCCACTTTGAGCTTCATACCGTGCAAATTGGATCTCCTCTCGTACTTTGGTTGCTTCAACCTGATCGCCACCCCGGACTTCTCAGTCCAGTAACCCAAAACGGTTACGTTCAAGGTGCCACCGCGTGCTTTGCAAGGATTATACACGTCGTACAAATCGTAACCGGCCTCGGTCTCTACAGCAACCGTAATGTCGGTCACTACACTAAAAGCGTCGTCATGTAACAAGCTCACGGTGTCTTTCAATTTTCGTCCCAAAATCAGCCATTTATGCATGTCGTCGAACAAGGATGATTTTGCAGCCTTAAATAAAAAGAGATTAATACCCAAGAACTTTGCCATTGCTGCTTCAACATCTACCGGCTTTGTTATCTTTCTTGACCCTTGCTTGTTTCTCCCCTCCTCCGATTGCATTTTTTCACATATATTACTTTTTTATTCTTACATTATATTAGACATTCTTATAATTCCAGACTATACTCTATACAATTAATGTAGATGCTATATAGGAATATTTTGGAAGAGCGTCTTTTACCTCGGCATATATCATGTTGTAATTGGGACCGTCGCATCGCGCGTCCAAGTAAACACCTAAATTGCGATTGTTGTTTTGTAAAAACTTCCTAATAATACGTATCGATGACGCATTCACAGATCCGAGACTCCATATCGACGTGAGTACAAAGACTTCGTTGAATGTCCTCGCGAATTTCACGTCGCCTGTCACGCAGGAGAAGCTTGTGATAATCATACATGAGTCATTTCAATCATCTAAATATTATTACGCACTTTCGAGACCACCGCATGAAAACCCGACGACGTGGGACACGTCTTTGTACAGAAAAAAGTCTCGGGCCATGAAGTTGTCGTTTGCGCAAACGAGCAATAGACGCGACAGAAACAGTAACTTCCAACTTCCATGAGGCATTTCTTAAATTATACGGATTACACAGAGATTACCAGGAGCTTGAAGGAGAATAAAGTAGTTCCAAAGGCTACGTTCGCCGCATCATTAAATATTCAAAGCGCAAGTCCCTTATGAATGTTTGATTTTAAGCATGACTTTCACGACTTGAAATATTAATTCCTTCGATTGATTCAGAATCTCTAGTTATTATTTTATTGCATTTATTTCTCCGTATTTCTCATCGTTATTCAGCGATGTTGTTTCGGGATTTTTGGATTTCTGAGAGACCGAGAACAAGGAAAAAATTTCAGGAGTTTTATTGAAAAGATCACAGGAAATTTGTCAAGATTGAAAAATGTCATGGTTATAAAGGAATATACGATTAAAAATCGTAATCTCAATTAATGTAATTTGTACTCTTTCTAAATGTAATGTAGCATTACGTATATTAAGGATACATTCTGATACGATGCGTGCACATTCGGGTACGTAATCAGAATCGAAGAGTTTTCATAAATAAAGTAACTTATCAATGACTAGTACAGATTATTGCGCGATCGCCGCTCGAGCCATAATCGTGAGTTCGCAAATTTTCAAGAAATCTATCAGGATCGATATGCCGAAACGTTCACTGTAGTGCGAAGGGAGGAGCGTCATTGGTCGACAGATAAAATTTGCCACGCAACCTAGACGAGAAGATAAATTGTGATGAATTACAATCAACAAGTTTTAACAAGTTTGAAAATATAAACAAGGATATATCTTACGAGGTAGAGGCGTACTCGCCCATCAGTACGACCGGATTGTAATCGCAAAGTTGCTCCTTGTATTTTTCCCAGCTGTCGCACATTCTTGCCTTGAAGCCCACCGTGCTGCCGATGCTCTCGGTCATGAGCTGATGCGCCCTCGAATGACTACAGTAAGCTGTAATGCAAAGGAGAGGCATTGAGACATCGCTTTAAGAGTTATCCTTTCAATATTCTCCATAGCAAGGATGCGATAACGAACATCGTGCAGTACTCACTTATTGTTGGCATAAAAGAGCATCCGGGTTGCGGGATCTTGCCGTTGTTGGGATAAAAATCGGCATGTCCTAACGGTGCCAAGAATCCGAACACCGGACCGCTGGTATGGATCACGTCAACGAATTGAGCATCGGTTGGATCCAGCCGGTATTCTGGATCGACGATACCGGAGATGGTCTCGAACAGAGGGCTCGCAGGATCCAGTCCTTCCCAGGAAAAATCATCAAGTTATGCTCGCGACACACAGCCAAATACTTTCGCTCTCGTAATTCATCGACACCGATAACGAGTGTCGTAACTGCATTGTTTATTTACAGCCATTTCTCAACGCTATCTTATCAATATGTCCAAAACAAATATCGTAACTCTAATTCGCGTAGTTTAGTTATTTGTTTATCAATGTTTATAATGTTTATCAATGTATTTAATATATTTTTCTATCGTAATAAGAATATTTCGAGGAGAAGGATTACTGTAATGTTGTAAATTGTAAATAATTCCGCTGGAAAGTTACGATACTTTTCATTGATGTCCTCGAACTCAAGTGCGTTTGCACAATAATTCTGGCATACGAAAACATTGCTATCGTGCCTATTGAATCTACCTGTTATTCTCCCGACACGTCCGTCGTGATAAGCCCCGGCGAAACCAGCCACACAAGAACCCAGGCTGTGACCACTGATGTGCACGTCCTTATACTCCAGGTTCGAGTCCCGATTTAAAAAATCCAAGAACTGGCCTAAGTATTCGCCGACAAGACGCGTGTTCTTAGCGGCCACCGGGTAGGCTTCGGATGCCAAGATTCCCCAACCGACGACTATCACGTTCACATCCTGATAAAGTAGATACGCTAAAAATACAATGTAGTTATTATATCTCTATCTTAAAAAAAAAAAATTTAAATCTTATTTGGAAGAAACGTTTTAGCGGACGAGAAGATGCGGGATCGCTGGATGAAAAAGTATCGCGCGTGATATAAAAAAGCACTTGGAGCTCTTCCGCGAAGAGTTTCTGCGCGAGACAGAGAGCGAGTAAAAACTTGCAAAACGATTAATTAAGCCGTTATCGCGCTGACCTTTGAACCAACAACGACGTCGATTCCGTGTTTACCGAAATAGGCCTGACCCTGATTGTTTGCGAAAGTAGTAAGCGACGGTAGTAAGGAATGCGAGATACACAATGACGCAATACCTAATTCCACCCACCGTCTATCAGATCGCGTATCCAGCCTTCGTTTCCGGTATCGCTGAATCCGTGAACGATGAACTTGGTCGGTCGGCTCTCGTTGAAGTGCGACGCGTACAGCACCTCGGTATTATTTAGGAACAATTGCTCTTCGCCGAACGGGTTTTCCCTGCGTGCGAAACAATACCATGATAAAGACAAGGGCATCATAAAGCGACGTTAAAATTCCAAACTTGATTGACTCTTGCCACGCGTCATCTCTTAAACGTGATAAAGGGAAAAGTTAGAACAATGTCGAGAGACGCCTTTCTCAATCGACTTGTTTGCCGGAAAGACAAGAAAAAAAAAAGAAAAAAAGGGAGAGAGAGAGAGCGGGAGTCAATCCAAAGGCGCCGATACTAAGGCGTACGTCAATGCGGCGCGGCGCCTCGACACTCGATCAAACGTCAGCGCTGAGAATAGAATGCTCGCTGATTGCACGTATCATTAAAAAATTGATGCATCCTCCAACGCGGGGCAAGCCGGCGATAGCGGTGCCATGGTGCATGGAAATTAGCCGCGTCGGCGTGCGATTGATTCCAGATCGGCGCCAAGATATTCTCCCAGCCAGTTGCAATTATAGAAAATAATTATTTCAGGAATATGCCGAAGAGGGAACGCACACTTGACATGACTGATGTCCATTTCTATCAACGCAGGTTAATTTTGATCTTGGTTTAACTTACCTGTCATCTTTTCCTAGTTCTCTAAAAGTTAGAAAAAGATAGAAAGTAAGTTAAACCGAGATTAGAAGTTAATCTACATTGATAGAAATGGGCAAAAGCCAAACAACGTAGACGCGCAATCCGTATGATGCAATTTAAATTTCAAGTTTGATCAGTGCATGTAAGGGTGAAACGTCCATCTCTACAACCCTGTGGAGCGAACATGGAACGGTTCCTTTGCGTTTCCTCTTCCAATTGACTGGTCTTTTCAAGTTTTCACATATACGTTATACCTGTTATCTCGCAAATTGCGCCGAGATACGTAAGGGCAATATTATAGCAAATTATTGTCGCAACAGTAAGAGAATCGTGTACGCACCTGGTGTACAATTTAAAGGTCGCCGGATCGCGTTCCAGCACCGTCTCGACGATTGACGTGCGCGCAGGGATGTCGTTCAGCAGCGTGCCCTCTGGATACGCGTACGCTGGAATTAACGAAATCTGGATCAATTCGGTTCGCTGTGAACAAAATTCACCGGAAACACGGGGACGGGAGGAGCAACAGAGAGATTTGACCCGTATCGGTCCGAGCAAGATCTTGGACCGGTGATTACCTGACCAGGCGAGGAGGACGGTCGAAAGAACGAGAAGCTCGATCTGCGACATGTCTCGGGGCGGGACGCTGCGCGACATACCAGTCGTCTCTGCGAGATGCACCGGATTACTACTTTAACTTGGCTTAACGTCGGGCCCGTCATTCATCCCGCGCGCTTTCTTTTTGCTCCTCCACCAGCTCCTCGGGAGTACGATAAGAGTAGGCGTCTAATGTCGCCGCCACCGCCGCCGCAAGCTGCTTTAATTCGTTAACGCGTTTTCGCTACCGCGGATCTTGATGACGGTCGCCTCCTCTCGCCACAGCCACGTCCCGAGGAGGTGCATTTCTACCTGAAAGAACGAACTAATCAGGAATTAAATGAAATCACAACGAAATCGAGACGAGCGGTGAGCAGCATGAGACGGGGTCCGGCTTTGCAAACCAATTAAGAATTAATTATATTTAGTTAATTTTGGAAACCTGCACTAAAAGCAACTTGTGTTACATGCAAAGGACCTTCGAGTGATACAACACTTGAAATACGTACCTTTTTTTCCTAGAATGTCATTCCTATAAAAAAGACGGAGCCAATGTTGCAATATAAGTTATGATAAACATTGCAATTGCGCGTCGCTCTGTTTATTCGAAGGTTATGTATTAATTGGAAAATTGCTAATTACTGCCCTTCTTTTTCCTCACCTTTTACGATAAGAAACTTTTCATGTCTCTTGAGAAATCATTCAGATAATATAAATTTATACAATAAATATTGTATGTACGTTCCCTATGATACCGACTACGATTGAAGCAGCTTTGCTAAAAGGCCTACAACCTTGGGGCGTATTTCGACAGATGGCGCCTCATGCAATTTCTTCAAAATGGCGTACGCACAGCATGTAGCTCGCTCGCGTGCATAAGGACGATTGGAGCTGTCAAAATCAGCGCTGCGTAGTCAACAACAGTCAACAGGTCAATTCCAGAACTTGCTTGCACGTGTACTCTCTAGAAAATGGTACGTATGTACATAAATATGAAAAGGAATTCAATGTTGGATCATTCCTATTCGATTTGTCGACGAGTTGTTTTACTTGTTATTAAGAGTGACTTCAAAATGTTTGTTAAATCGCGAGATTTCTTACATTTTAAACCGTTTTGAAATTTACTCGAGCTACGTGGTCAGAACTATTTATTAGATCTAAAGTATGATAATGATAGAATAAACTACATATTTTTTTACGACATGCAAAATTATTGTTATCACATGTTGACATCACTCTCTCATGAGAATCGTACCCTATACATATATGTTACGCCGATAACAAACACGTTAAAATAATGATAAATTGTTTTCAATGTTCGTATTTGTTTTCGATTTTTGTTAATTGAAGTAAACTGAATCTATCGACGCATCATGTCGCCGGAGCCCACGCAGGAACCCATTCAGGAGAGTCTGACAGTTTCCAACGTAGTCCTGGATGCGAGAGCGGCGAATGATGAGGAGGACAGTGATGATGAGGCTATGGGTATGGCGGGATACATGCCGCTATCCCAAGTGTCCACCGATGCCGATCCTATGTTAGGCGAAGAAGAGGTAGACTTTGGCAATCAAAGCAGCAGCAGCATCTTCATTCCTTAATAACAAAGAACTTATGAAGCTAATTGACCAATTCTTTTCTCATTTCAGAATGACGAGTGGCTATCTGGATTTGGTGAATCTAGTCAAGCGTCATCCGTTCCGATAACTGAAGAAACTCAGCAAGTGAGTCTCCTTTAAATCTTGAAGATTGCTATGAGAATATTTGGAAAGATTCTGATTTGTCAGTTATTTTGTTTATGTGGATATTTGGGCTGTACCCGAAACAATCAAAGAATCAAATTTGCACCGTAATATTTCAGAGTTCTTCGGAGATACTGGAAGTCTGGTCGTGTCCAAACAATCGTTCTGACATTGATCTGGATGCGACTAAGATCAAAGAAGTAAAATCCGTGATGGCGTCCATTACCATCCCCGAAACTTCCATTCCGCAATGGGCGAGCGCGATCTCGGAAGAGCAATGGAAAGAGCAGCTTCTCGTACGCATCAAGCAGATGCAGAACAAAGATTCGTAGAGCTGAGGTCGCAATGTAGTCGCTGCTTGCAACAAAGAGTTAAAATCATTACTGTCAGCCGTACACGTGACGAGCGGTACATCTGGAATTATTCCAAGTATAATTTAATACAATGTAAAAGATGCAGAAACATAATCGAGATGCCTATTGGCATCTCTGAGTCGTATATATTTTAACATTTAAGTGTAAAAAATAAAATATTTGATTTTTATATCAGTTAAGTTAGAAGCTGTCTCGAACAGGCTTTTAACTCTTGTTAATGCGTAGGATGTATAATTGTGGTGTGAGAGGAATATAAATCAAAACCTATTCGAACGAATTGTAAAGTATATTTTTATTATTTTTATCTTTTCATACGGTATGTTAGAAGCAGATTATGAGATATATAATAGATTAGTTTAGTCAATAAACTTCATTTTTCTCGATGAAACTGCGCTCGAAATGAGTAAAACGCACATGATATCTCATCTTGATGCTATTCTAGCGAAATATGACTTATTTCTGAATCGCAAACATTCCATTGCGCTCAAAGTTTCCCCAGCGTTCTACATTTCATCGCGTACACCGCATAATCTATTTAAAGAAGGCACGATTTTATAATTCGAACTCCGCATCGATGGCAGCGGCTTTGATTGGATTGAGTTTCTTCCGTAAGGCAGCAACATCATCTTCTATTTTTATCAATTTCCGATATTTCTGGAAAGAAAATGAGTTATCGCTATCGTATTGTTACGCGTATCTCCTGCGCGATATTATATACCTCTGAGGTAGTTCCGGGTGTAACGCTCCAGATATAAATCATGTAACCTGGAATGCACAACATCGAGGAAAGACCCGCGAGCCATCCCAGCAAATGGCTCCACCACGGAAATTCGTACGCAAGGTATTTGACAGGGACGAATTTGATAATATTAAAGATGAAAACGCCCTATACGTATAATAATACCGAATGTAATTAAACGGAAAGTAGCACATTGGTTCTCTGAATCATATTGTCGGGGCAAATTGGAGGTCTTACCACGCAAATGGCAGGAGTGGTAAATGTCCAGCATATCTTCCACCAGAAACATGGGTAATAGCCTATCATGTCCCGTATGCCGTCGTAAAATCGGTCCACCCCGAATGCCCATGAGACGGCGATGCACTCGAAGAACATCAGGAAGAGTAAGCAGAACCCGCTCACAGCGTACGTGTCTAGTAGTTGAAACACGTACATACCGCCCTGAATAAGATTAATTTCCATCAGTTAGAGGAAATCTAAGCGACTAATCTTCTGTCGAAGGCTGCGTTCGCTTTGGGCGCTTTCGTGCTGAAAGCGTCAGTCTATATCTCTATTACTCATTACATGTTGAAAAAAGATGGAGTGATGCTTTCAGCACGAAAGCGTCCAAAGCGAACGCAGCCATAGAATACCAAGTTGAAAAAAATAAGATGTAAGGATACTTTTGTACTTTTACAAAATACTTTTTACATATTACTTGAGTAACCCATACGACCAATAACACTCACTTCCGTAACGCACAGAAGTCCGATTAGATAGGAGATCAAGCATACGATCGCGATGAACATTTCTTTCCGTTTTCTGAGCGTTCGCGGCCACTCATCCACGGCGGCGGTGATAAAGCCCTCCATGGTGCAGAACTGGAATGCGACTTGTTTTTAACATTCAACATTAATCCGTAGTAGTTCTAGGATAATGGACGCCGATCCTTGGATTCGATGAACGTACGTTACCTGACTATCCAATCCTATCAGGAGGAGCATAAAGAAGAACAGACTCGCCCAAATTGAGGCCCCAGGTAGTTGCAACACTGCCGAGGGATAAACTAGGAAAGCCAGCCCAGGCCCTGATCAAAATGATGGATATAATAAAGTTATTATTGTGTTATCGTAATTCGAGACAAATTAAGAACAAAATGAATAGCTACCAGAAGCGGCTACATCGGCCACTGGTTTCTGTTGCTCGTGGGCCATGAAACCGACTACGGAAAATATGACTACTCCGCTAAGCAAGCTGGTGCAAGTATTCACTCCGCATACGATGAGAGCATCTCTGCGATATATCGATAAGACTTGCATATAATCCGTCTTACAAGAAAATAACTTTTTAAAGAAAGAGAGGAAGAGGAGAGAATGATGAATGGAGACAGAATAATCCATAGAAGATAGAAGATTCTTACTTGTAAACATTATTATTAAATTTGTTGTAACTGCCTAGGGCTACCAATGCACCTAGACCGAGAGCGTAAGTGAAGAATATCTGGGTCACCGCGTCTATCCATACCTATATACATACAACGATCGTGCCAATGATTGTAATATTTTATATTCTAGCATAACTAAACGAGAAATCGACGTCGTATCGACGGTTTTACCTCGGGATCGCCGAGTTTCGAGAGATTCGGCGTAGCGTAATACTTCAAACCTTCCGAAGCGCCGGGAAGCGTCAAGCCTCGCACGAGCAGCACCGCCAGCAGGGCATATGGGAAGAGCGCCGTGAAATAGACGACCTGTATTACATCGTATTAATTTACACGCTACGTCCGAAAGTGGCGAACAAAACTTGGTCGTAAACGCAGCTCTCGGTCTTTACCTTGCCGGTCCATTTGACGCCTTTCCAGATACAAAAGTAGCACATAATCCACACGACCGCGAGGGTACCGGCCAATTCCCATCTTATACCACCGACGTCTTCGATGCCCGAGGAAATCTGCAGGGTGCGCCTCCTTTTTGTAACGAAAGGCGCGGATGGTACTTTTTGATCCCACTGTAATTAATTAACTAAAGGCATCTATACGAGGCCAGTAACTTACTCCCAAAATTCTTTGACTGGATCCTTCAACAGCTCGTGACTCAAGTTCCCAAGAGGTGTGGCACATATCAAGTTGTTCGGCCAGTGGTCGTTCTCCCAGCACGATACGTTCAGACGTTCGCGGGTCGTGATGCAGTAGCGCGTGTTCCACGAGTTGTCGCAAGTTCCCCAAGGTACATCTATGCAAAATTTATTATATTAGATAAATGTAATAATTTCTGATTTTCTGCAAGCCCAAAGAGTAAAGAAATAAGAATGCTTTTAGAAGCATCGTGCTTTGATCAAGTATGAAGTGAAGTCACTTTACCAGTACGTAAGGAGACCAGGAAGTAGAAGAGCGCCCAAGCAAGGATGATGATGTAATACACATTGGTCCAGCAGGAAAGCACGCAGGTCGCATATCCAATGCCTGTGCGAAGATCAACATTGTCACCGTCATATTCCCGGAAGTATCTCAATATAAGATTAAGAGATCCTGAGTACTCTCTAAAATCACCTTTAAAAATCGGTGCTATTTTAAAAACACCCAGACCACCTATCGTCAGCATCTGTCCTAAGGATAGCTCCATCAGGAACATGGGTATACCGGCCAGTGCGAGCGCGATGAAGTAGGGCACCATGAAAGCACCGCCGCCATTCTTATAACAAAGGTACGGAAATCGCCACAGATTCCCCAAACCTATGGCCAATCCCACGACGGATAAAATAAATTCGATCTTTAAAAGAGGAAAAAAAAAATGCGGAAATTGCGTTTACAAGTCTATACATTCAGGTCCCGTTTCAGATATTGGCGCACGTTTTAATAACGACGTCTCTTACCTTGCTGCTCCAGTTCCCTCGTTCCGGCAGGGAATCCCTGGGCCTCTTGATAATCGAGGACTGTCGCAGGCATTGTATTGCCTCGAATCGGAAATCCGACTCTTTCTCGCCATTGGGGGGAGCTCGGTTGCTGGCGGGATCGGAGAAGAGGGCCTTCAGCTCCTGCACCGGATTCACCGGGTTCGGCGCCGGTTTTCTCGGCAGAGGACTAGTGGATCTGTCTACCTTGGGACGGCCGGTCGATCCCCTTGAAGGCATTATTCGTTGCGGCGACGAGATCGCGAGATGAGATCGGAATTGGAGAACTCACCTCATCCTAGGCAGGCCGACCGCGCGAGTGGAGACCGGCTCGCTAACTGTGTAACTTGCGCTCTTCTTTCTGATTAAAGCGTTTGGAACGGGACGGCCGTTGAATCGACGGTGAAGTGGAAAGAGACAGGGAGAAGCGAAGGGCTGATTGATAATTGTCGTCTATAAAATAGGAAGTTTTTGCAACGCGACCTCGTCCTATCTAGTTGTGCCGACCTTAACAAACAGGAAGCCCTTTAAGAGTGGCCGGACGTGTTACGAGAGGCTCGAGAAGAGTACGTAGGGGATGACGATAAGTCCCTAATATAAATAATAGATGAAATTTACGTTCTCTCCTCGTGTTAATACCCGCGGTCATCGTCGTCGTCGCGCGCACGAGCGCGAGGTGCGCGTACAATTGCAAGGTATGACATATAGTAGACAAGGGTCTTGATGATGACGGACGATGAATAACGAGCCACTTCCGGGAATCATAGCGTTCGTCGAATGCGTTCTCATCGTCACAACCTTGTCCTATTTTATTATTCAACTCATGGTGTCCTGTGCGGCGCGGTATCGCGACGAATACGTTTACATATTGCGTGTCCAGGCCGCGACAACGACGATGTATAATCGGAAAAAGAACCCATCTTTCTTATTTAATCAAAAATCTTAAAGTCGTGCAGACCGATTGCTGTATATAAAAGCAAATTTCAAATAAAACTTGGAGTCAATTAACAATTAGATTATAGATAACGACGTGACACGGATAGTTTTACATCTTGTTTTAAATATTTTTGCCACGTAACTTCAAAAGAAGCAAAGACGTCCATTGGAACGATTGCGAAGGAACGATTGAAGAAAATCACAAGTGATACGTACGCAATTATTACGATCCAATATATGCGATTTTCCTCGCCGTCTCAATATGTCCCTTCTTGGTATCCTCGCACCGGTCCTTAGCTCGGCATTCTGCTAAATATTCCACAATTCTTCCAGGTGCGAAATCACTTCCGAGATCTTCGGTATACGGAATGCGAAACTTCTGAGGGGAGTGGAGAGTCACCCCCTTTTTTTTTTAAACGTGAGCCGAACGCTTAACCGAGCGCGACTTTGAGGAAGGGCTCGCACGGATGCAGAGATTTCTGCCGTACCCCGTCGCGATCTACCCCACAATGATGCTCGGTCCCCCTCGAGCATGAACGCACCTATCTTTCCATTCAACAAATTAATGCCACAGTGTCAATCTATATTTAGGCTGCTCGTATGACACGAAGAGATCGGCCGTACGCGCGCAAGTCATCTCGCCGACCGAATACGACGTTTTCCGTTTTTCTTTTTCATTATCATATGTATAATTTGACATAATAAAGATTCGTTATCACATTGAAGGACAATACTTGTTGAGATTCTTAACTGATCCATCTTTCCCATGGATTATTTGCAAGTTAAAAAAATATTAATATTTTTTTTATTTATTACCGTGAAAATAAAACTATTTATAGGGGTAGAAAATGGTGGTGCCTTAGAAAACTTATTTTCAAGAAAAAAGAAATTAAAATTTAATATAACTGTGGCATTTCTTACCACATTCACGTATACATTATATAATAACAAAATAAGGAGAAAGCAAAATATGATATGAAATTACAAATAAATTACTTCATAATGTTCAAGATAATAAAAAGAATCTTTTAGATAATGATAAGAATTATAGCCCAATTACACTTTGACTTTTTAAATAGCTTTTAATATCATAGTTTTCCCTTTACTATCGCCATTGATGACATTCTCGTTTATCTCGTCCAGTACATCTCCGATCTCAACTTTATTCTGATTTACATGTAGCATGTAAATAACAATTAAGTATTTACAATTTTAAAAAGTTAAACAGTTAGATACTCAGAGAGATCTTTTTCTTACATCTTCAGCAGCTACCGATTTCTCGTTTTGACATTCACAATTAATGCCTTGTCGCTGGTGAAACTGCAATAGCAGCGAATAAGATTCACAAGGCTCATTCTTTCTTATCGCAACAATCACTTACCATACAGAGATGCCTAAATTTTTGCAAGGTACCAGCTCCAATGCTGCACATTTCGGCATTTGCCAGGTGTCGTCTAAGAAAGCTGCATTTCTTAAATTCAGTTTAAAGTTAAATTTACTGCACTGCAATAGCACAGACAGTAGTATCTCTCGTAGAATATATCATCTCCCAAAATGCTTTTCAAGTTGTAAAACTCGGCAGCTAAAGTTGGTATTCTGTTCTGAAAATATAAATTTCGATAACCAATTAACAAATGTGCACAATGGACGTGGATTAAGTGCATTTGGCGTAAACGTCTACCAATATTTCTACCGGCATGTGAAAGGCATCTTCGCACGAGGCATGCTCTTATCAGGAGACGCAGTCTCCCGCGCGAGAAAGAAATCCTACATGACGCTACGTTCAATTACGATCTCGATAATGACCCTTCCCACGCCTCGTGCGATTATGAAAATTTTATGGACGATATCGAGTTCGCGGAGGTGGACCGTACGTAAAGCGATCCGATTTCTCGGCGGGCGCGATGGTCGGTCACGCGTGTAATTACCGATGCGCTTTTACGTATTGCAGATGTTATACGTGCCACGATGGCACGGCACGGTACACTCCGGTTATTCGATAAATTAATGAGAAATTAAAGAAAATTGAAAGAGAATGTACAGAGCCGCAGTATTTCACGAAGAATCCGCTGCCTAATGGTTTACTCCCTGATTTAGGTATCTGAGTTTTTTTAGTGGCTCCTTCCACTTGGTCTAATCGTGATATTTGTATCAAGGACTTCATGCTCTCGATACCAGAATTTTTTATAAGATGCACTATTGGTTCATAAAGCTCACAAGATTTTTTGGTATAATGCTGAAAATACAGAGCAATCATATATCTGTTATTTAAATTATTTTTTATAATATATTTTTATTAGTCGGCATTTGCTAGATTACCAGCATTATCGGTTGTCCACTACCCCTCTTCATAATTTTACATTGCAAATATAAAGTCGAGATTGAAAAAGACATATATATATTCGCTTATTTTGTTATCTATTTGACATGGAATTGTCCAGTAAAAAATATAGTTGAAGTAATATATCATTATATTTCTTAAACAAATGTTAAATAAAAGTTTTGCTCAAATTTATTTAATATATTTTCCGAGGTAAAAAAACTTGACAAAAAGAATGGGCGCGTTCAGCAGAACAAACCGCTCAGTAGCAATCGAACGTGATTGGCTCTTACTTTTAGACCCAACAAATCAACGTAGCGTGTTGATAAGACGACACTCAACAGTTGTGTCTGCTGAACGCGGCCAATTATATTCCTGATATTCTTCTCGCTTTCGAAGAATAAATTGTTATTAAAAGCCAATTTTAATTTTATTAAAAACTAAGTGTAAAACTACTTTATAATGCAAGAGATAAGATTTTTCTTTCTCATACATCTCGACAATATTTTGATTCCTCATACTTTCCTTATTTTTTCGCATATTTTAGTCTCTAGCGGCGGACGTGGGGGGACGTGAGTTTTCAAGAAAGACTACAATAAAGGAAATAACAGTCGTGTTACAAACAATGCAAATAAATGTACGTAACAGTTTGCAAAGAATTTCTCTATCATAAATATACATTTTCTGATTTCGACGATTTGAGTTAGGTTAGGTCTAACCTAACCTAACCTAATTCGCGGCACGTTCACAGTGTTCACACGGCCATTGGATTCCGGGCGGTAGTTTTGACAGTAGAATCGCGGGTTTCGCGCGTGCATTTTTCGGGATCATGACCGAAGGAAGTAATAACGACAGCAAGGATGCGAGGGAGCCGTCGCGATGTTTCGTCTGCGACGACGAGGTCCTGGGCCGCTCCTACGCCTTGGCCACGTGCAGAACGCAAAACTCGCGGACCAGGGTAATCGAGAAACTCGGAGAATTGGTCGGCGAGGGGTGATAAATCTGCATTAATTAGCGGCCCGCCCGCCCGCACGTAACGCGTCCCGACGTTAAGTAAAAAGTTCGATCTTCCTGTCGCAGATACATGGTCGTGATATCCGAGGACGACGTGATCTGCCGCAGCTGCGGCGTCTTCGTCAACACCCTCGACCGTCTGGAGACGGAGATGCGCAACACCCGGGACCACATTCTACGCTTCTTGGAGCAAAAGTATTCCCTGCAAGACGGGGAGCTTTGCGGCGACAAGCCGAAGCCGTGTCAACCGCCGCAGATCAGGAGATCCGGGGATAAAGAGATCTCTGTCCGCTGCGACGAACCGCGGAACGAGAGTCCGGGCGGCTCCAAAAGGATACCGAAGAGATCTCACTCCTGGCTGCAATGCGACAAGTGCAAATATACCACGCATCTCAATTCCTTTGTGATGCACCACTCGAGGGATCGTATCAAGCAAAGATTATTCTGCGATGATTGTGGACAGTACACTATGGAGAACCAGCAGGATAAGAGGCACATTTGTAACAAGGCGGGTGACCTGGGAAACAAGGAGAATGAGGCAGGTTGGATATCGCTGAATCGAAAAAACTAATACGTTATTTGCTCTTTCAGTTTTCTATGTTTATTGTCACATTATTGACACGTTGCAGACAATTCTGGTGTTACTAGCAAGAATGATGAGGTGGAGATGACACTCTTAAAGCAAGCTCAACCAATCTTGCCTGTTACTCAAGTGACGTCGTCACTGATGGGTTTATCAAATTGCGATCATCTGTATCTCCCTAATACATTACCAGCAAGTAGGTATAATATTTGTACTATCCACGAGATTAACATATTACTGCAAATGTGTCTTAAAAAGGAAATTTTTGTTATGAAAGGTGATTCCATGTCTTCCCGGCAACCGGTATATGTTCTGCAGTCGATCAACGTGGCTGATATTGATAACTCAAGGAAAAGGACGAGATCAGATTCAAATCTCGATCAAACGGAAGCGAAAGACAGGGGCGAAGGTAGAAAACAGGTGTTGACTTTGAAAGAGGATGGAAGTCTGCAAATGGTCGAGATAATGCCCAGGAAGGAGACAAAAGCGCCAAATATCGATTCGACGATAGCGTTCAAATAACTGCGGAACAGTTAGAGACATTTCAGTGTTTTTACATTTTGTTGCTGTGTTACAAATCGTATCTGTTGACGAAAAATCTAGTATTGTAATATATTAAAATTTATTATAATTCTCCAACGTTACGCGTGAAGTAACTTTTGTCACGCGAGCACTTTCTACGTGGCACTCGCAGTGATGCCGATTATGTTAATCAAAGTTACGTCACGTCGATAGATTCGCGGTCGCACGCAGAATCACGATGATTTGACGAATGTTGGAAATGTATTGTAAAAACCGTGAATCACACTGTCCGTGTTCTATCGAGTTATTAAAGACGAGTATTCAAGTTGTTGAAAACTATTTTTTTAATGAATGCTGTATGACACGGTGCGTTTTAGGATACATAGTTGCCCTTTGATCTGAAAAAGCATTAAAAGAATACATTTTGGCTTCGACTAAATCCAGTTGGTTTTTTGTTCCTCTTTTCTGTAATATTGGTTATTTCAATTAGTCGTGTATTGTCATAAGCGACAATTATCGTGTATTTTGAATGAAATGAGAGCGCATAATATTTTATTCAAGGTGATTTAAATTTAAAATTTTAATTTAAAGAAACTTGTTTCTAATATTTATTGTGTGTGTATGCGTGCATGTGTGTGTGCACGTGCATAAATAAATTAATATTGTATCTTCAATTCTGCAATTCATTGAAAAATATACATATCAGAAAATAAAACGTGTGTCTGTGATATTTTAGTGATAAAAAAGAGATAAGAGGAGATTAAGTCCAGGGAAACTGTAGATTTCACGATTCAGCGTTACTTTCCGCAAAAAATGTACTTTTACAACAATTTTAATGATTTCTGTAAATATTCAAGGAAAGCGAATCGATTTGCAACGTTCGCGATGCCTGCTTTACCGACTTGGAGGTCTCTAGCGATGTTCGCGGCGCGACGTTGGCGTCACTGCCATTCAAAATGTTTTGAATGCAACAATGGTAACGAGTGTGGAGTAACCGTATAACCGGTCCGCGTGCCAATGCTGTCAAATTAGTCGATTTAAGTTGTTATTTACTCAAGCCCGTTCGTGAGTGCGATGGATACGTTGGGACTTGAGTGCAATCTGCTCGACGTCTTCCAGAATGATGACCACACTATCGTGAATAAATGGATCTCGTCGTGTCGGGAGTTTCGGCTGTCCGTGGACGCCAGGATCGAGCAGGCGTTTCTCCGCGAAAAGGGTACGCTTTTCTCTCTGTGTGCTTTGGCAAACTATCGGAGACTATCGTTGAAAAGTCGAGTTTACGTGGCAAAAATTTACTTTTGAAAAGCACTATTTATGAAAGCATAAGAGCAACATTTTGTCTTTGTTTTTCGCAGACTGCAGTAAGAAGAAATCTGTCAACACCGGTAAAATATCAGAGCTGCAACAGGAAATTGGCATGACAAAGTCTGACATAGATGCTGTCATATTGGAGCAGAAAGTGACTGACAGAAAGATATCGAATGCAATAAAGTTGCAGGAGAATCTGAAGGACGAGTTGGAAAAGGCGAAAGTGCAGAGAGAAACCTTGTCGTTGGAGATGGTGGACCTACAGCTCGGTGAGTACAGCTTGGTATTTACTTGAATTGGAGTATGAAAGTTCAGTATTGCGTTATTTCACCCTCAGTCGAACTCGCTCTTATTCCATTTTGACGGTTGACAGAATTAGAAGAAAGGAAGAGAAAGAAAATCTTACAATGGGATGCCATTAAGCGCGCATGCAACATCTACAAAGTAAATTTGGACATACATCTAAGCCTTCAAGAGGAACAGGATTGTGAACGTGTAAAGTTTTCCTTTTTCATGCACAACGAGGCGACAAAGGATAAATACTTTGTCCAATTGTCACGCAGCGACAATCACTGGACAGGTACGTGACATTCCAAATATAAATCTGGAATAAGAAATATAATTAGTTCGCACCACTGAGACAGTTACTTTAATCGTCATTTTAGTCGAGCAAATTGAACCGAGACTGAAGAAAGAGCATCTCAAAGAGCTGAGCACTATAAAAGATTTTTCCGATTGTTCCAAAGTGTCCGACATCACCTTGTTTCTGTACCAGGTACGAAGTGTATTTCTGAAGTATTACATAAAAACGAGAAAAAAACTGTAAAACGGTTAACGCTAACTTACGTTACGTTAATTATAACAGCTCGTAGAATAATATATTTTGTAAGAAATAACACATGATCTTGTTCTGTCTCTCTCGTTGCGAGAGGTCTTTATTAATAAAAGTTAAGATACCTAAAATAAATCGTTATATGTATAAGATATGTAACATTTCACACGTCGTTGTCTAAACATCGGCACGATTTTATTATATGTGTGTGTATCGTCATTACGAGATATATAATTTTTTGTTTCTCTAATTTTTATTTTGTCACAAGAGTCATAAGAGAGCAAATTGCAAATCACAGTGCGGATAAATAATAACTTAGTCGCTAAAATTATATAAACAGGTCTCTGCTTTGTCTTTTTATAAGTATATATATGTACATATACTTATACATATATATATCTATATAAATGGTACCTACGTACATGTCAACGTTGCGTCGTCCCCGTAGCATCGTGAGAAATACACTTAATAAGTAAAATCAGTACGACATTTGGACGTTACGTTAATGTACCGCACACCTGTAATCATTTGACGATGATATTTCATATCGCACATACTTGCATACTTGTTAGATAGTTGACTGGATAGGCGTTACATTTGATCATTGTAATACTTAATCAATATTTCACGATTCTCTCGCGATGCCTCTTCACGACGCAAAGTTACTTTTCATTAAAATACTTAATAGAGATAAATTATTTTGATTCTGAGTTCTAGCTAAAATTAAGCTAGCAGTCGTGCTAGCTTAAGTTGGCTGCCTTCTGCAATACGTATTGTATATATTTATATATGGGCGTGTGTGTGTCAAAAGAATCAAGTAATACTAATTACGTCCAAGATTTACGATTGATAGATCTAACGATCTCGAGTCAAAATAACGCCATTTGCATGGCAAATGATTTGTTTTTTAAATAAATTTTGCAAATTTTCATATTTACGCTACATTTAGTGTATGGAATAGCCGAACTCCGAAATCTTTGATTTACTACTAGTGCGTTTAACGTTTATAATATTGATTCAGGGAAGGATGTCTCGCGCGGTGTTTCTTTCTGCGAATTTTTTCCGGAAACGGACGTTTTATGCTGTATTTATCGTGATATTTACGCGCGCATGGTATTAACCGAGCACTGTACGCGGATGACAAACGAGCTGATCCCATTATGTATGCGTGGAGGCACGCTGATAACAATTCGTCCCTATTGGCACGAGTTAACGAAGGAGTCAATTGATCGCCCACTGCCAATCTGCCCGTGCCAACGGCATAAAGTTAACAGATTTCATTTGCTCCATTGACCCGTCGGGAATTCATTTGCATATACATGACCATCGAGAAAGTTGACCGAAGACCGAAGTCTTCCGCGAATAATCACGTTGTAGAACGTTGCTGTTTTCCTTCGCTCGTATTGTCGCTCCGCGATACGTTGGTAGCTTATCAGAAAGCGGTGATTAACGTATTCCGTCTCGGGACGCTTGGATGCTCTACACGCATTTCCAAAATACAACGATTTTCAATATATAGCTTTTTATTGCACACGTGATGGAATCTGTTGAGAATGTCGTACGTTTTTTTAAGTTCCCGAAGAATTTATAAATAAGAATGAGTTGCTAATCGATGCAATATCGAGTTTTGTTTATACATTGTCGGCTATTTTTGCGCTCAACTTGACGAAAAGAAAAATTTAAGATGGTTTACTGCTACGCAAACAAGACTTTTCGCTGATGAAGACTATTTACAATGCAAAGGCATGTAAGGACCTCGTCCTGTTGCTTAACGGAAAAGTATAAATTTGTATGCGGTACAATTCCGCATTCACTCGTTTCTCACTGAAGACGTACACGGATCTAGGATCTTGAATTTTTTTTCTCGAATTATTTCAAGACTCCGATATCGGACGAACGCGGTCCTCGTGTAGCCCGAATATCCAACGGGATATTTTTGGACGCGCAAGATTCTCCTAAGTATACATATCGAGGCTGTGCGGGTCCGTCTCTCGGGACTTGCTACGACTAAAGAAGGTGCTTCTCTGCAGAGACAGACGCACAAACACACCGCCCCCTCGAAATCGCTGGGAACGAAATTTTCCGAGAGCGCTCGGAAGTATCGTCGAGCCCGTTACATTGTAAATTACGCACGATGTACATACACGCGATGCGCACTACCAATGGGTGTCCACAGAGATGGCATGTCGTTTCTGACGATTGCTCCGTTCATACTTTGGTGGTCTACCTCGCGCCTTTTTTCCCGTCTCGTTCAAACGAGGACGACAAATTCTCGCGCGAATTTCTCGGGTACCTTCCCCTCTTCCTTTCTTCCTTCGTCGGATCTTCACCCTGCTTGATGTGGTGCTCGCGCAATTATTCTCATAGGGCCAGCACGCATCGCGGCAATGCTGGGGCCCTTACTCGAGGGTGGCGGCGAAGGACACGTTGCCCCCCGACGCGGCCGCCGCGGCAGCTAGCAGAAGCGTCGGGGGCAGTGGTGCCGGTGGCAGCGCCGACGTCAGCTCGACCGTCGTCGGCGGCACGGGCGTTGTCGTGGTTGGGCAATCGCTGCCGACCCCGTAAACCTTGGCGTGATTTACCTCGAGCGCGACGGTCAAGTCGGCCAGGCCGGCGTCGCACAGCACGGGATTATCTACGAACAACAAAGCATGTGTGTATGTGTGAGTGTAAGGGCTTGCCGCGTGACACACGATGAAGTGGAGCAACAATAAGATATGAGAAACGAGAGATACATATGGGTGAAGAGATATATATGTAGAGAGCGTCACGGGCAATTTGATTTTTCGTTCCCGGTATCTCATGCTCTTTATTGTATATTTCGCTGTATCTCAGCCCTAAATTCGAGAGTCGTATTATTTTGATTGTGAGTTATCATGCAAAAATAAATAAATAAATTATCATTAAAACATGCGCGATTAATGACGATGTGGAGCCCAGCTGTGATGATAAAGATTCGCCTAGCTGCAACATTAATCGTTAATAGCGAGTGTTACGTTCGCGGCGCGAACCCGGCTTTCCCAAATTTTTTCGTCGCGATTTTCGTCGCGAGTCCCACGGATTTCCTGGCGCGAAACCGCGAGCGAAGAGGAGAAAGAGAGTGTCAAGCTGGAAACTGAAACCAGCCGGAGATAACGGGATTGGGCACGATAGCGTGGCTGCAAAGAGAGACAGAGAAACGATATATTAACAATAACAAAGCTCAATGGGCAGACGCCAGTATATAATAAATAATGAGATGGCGCCACATCGAGGGTTATCGCGAGAAATGTAACCGTTGTAACAAATAACGCCTCGGGAACCGAACGGAGCCAAGGCGATTATCAAGCGAGTAATTTATTTTCCGTCGTCCCCTCACACCCGGCCTCACGCACACACACTCTCTCTTCTCCAGTTCCTTCTCTCGCTCTTCCTCTCCCTTCGCTCTCGTCTTCCCTCTGTTTGTATGTCCACGCTGGACCTTACAAGCGGTATTTATTAATTATGCGATGGCACTGGCGCCATACATCGTTCTGTCCGCTTCGATTAATGTCTAACGGTCTAATTGAATTTAATCGTTCGTCAATAATATTGCTAAATAATGTTGAGCTACCCCAGGTCTGTCGAAAGAAAAGTGCGAGATATTAGCGGAAAAAAAAGCAGAGAAGCAATATCAAATTGCGTTGAAATTTCATAGAATTGTAACCTTTAGATATTTATCTTTAGATATTTATTGCAGCGTAGAGCATGAAATCTATATTTTGTTAAATGGAATGTTCGCGCGCGCGCGCTTGCGAGACATCAGAATCTACCGCGATACGAACAATCGTCTCGTCGGAGCGGAGATTCTCCTATGGGAATCAAAATCTCGTTTACGGTTGTTAATTCGATTACTGTTCGTTCGCGACGAATCTCTCGTGTACCGGTCGGGTAATAAACAACATTGCGCATATCGGTCGTTCCTTCTCTCATCTATGCAATTATGTTACACCAAAATTAAATTTTCCAGTATCTTGTCGCTCTCTGTTAACTTTAGTTAAGAATCATTTTATCGAGTAATACCACAGATATTTTTTTAAAAAAGATCGTCTTTTCTCACGCTATCTATTCTCCAGATCGATACAAGAGTCTTACTAATACCGTGATAGAAATTCTAATATTTGCTGCTATTATATAATGTTATTATAAACAATCTGTTATGCGCGTGAATAGAAATATGTGCATATACGGTGGCGTTAAATATGGTACTAAAAGGCTAAAAGGCAAAGAGGGACGCCTTGATAGAAAGAGAGAGAGATAATGCGCGTATCTAATATAAACTCACCTTGAAGGTATATACGTAGCACGTCGGGGACTCCGTGAATCGTGCATCGTGTATTGGCCACCAGCTCCGGCATGAGGGTACGTATTTGATTCATGCTCACGTCGGCCCAGCAGAGCACCGGGAAACCGCGAAAATCTCGGCCGGACAGCGTGACCAGGCGATTGTGTGACGCGTTCAGTTCCTCCAGAGACGGTAGCCACGTCTAAACCACGATTGTGCGATCGATTATATCACACATTGAACAAAGAGAGAAAAAAAAGGAAAAAGCGAAAGGGATAACTCGATTTTTATGTATACCTCCGATGTATCCTCGAGAGTGGTGAGTTGATTGTGCGAGATGTCGAGCACACGGAGCCCGTCGAGACCACGCAGGTCGCGCGGCCCGATCGTGGGGCCCAGCGCGTTGTGGCTAAGATTGAGCCTCTGCAGCTCCTTCATGCCCAGGAACAGGGTGCCGTCCAAACTACGCAGCTCATTATGCTGAAGACTCAAGTCCTGAATAGTGCTGCCCGCGATCTCCTCGCCCTCCTCTTCCACCAAATTCTACGGGCATCGCAAATAGATTCCGACCAATCATCAGATTAGAAAACGTGAACGACTTCGACGATGACGTTCGTCAACATGTAAAGTATCGGATGACGTAGATACCTACCTCGGAGGATAGCCTTCCTCTGTGCAGTCTGGCGATCCGGTTGTTCGACAAATCTAGCAACTTGAGCTCGCGCAGGCCGCGCAGGGAGGCCAGGGAGAACTCGCGGAGCTCGTTGTGCGTCAAGTTCAGGCACTTCAATGATCTGAGGGGATAAAGGGCGCTACTCCCGTTTCCATCGCCGTCCGCCCCGCCGAGAGACTTGAGGGAGTTGTGCCCGAGCTCGAGGTCCTCCAACATCTCGGCCTCTATGAAATCGTCCGCGTTCAGCTAAAGAAGCACAATTTAAGGTGTCTGAATTCTTATCCATGTGATACGCGCGTGAACCGTGCGATCTAATTAACGGCCATTCGAGCCGGCGCGAGTCGCGCAAGTTTGAACGAGAAAGTCGCGACGCGAGATACGTCCGTCTGTTTCGTTCGAGTGCTGACTCGAGATCCTTCCGTCAGGCGGAAGACGGCAATAATTACGTTACGTCGTGGTAATTGGTTCAATGTATGGCGCGCTTTTACCTCCTCCGACTCCCCCGCCGTGTCGCGCGCGTTAAAGCGTAATATTCGAGAGCACGTGCGCTCCGAATGCGCTCGCCTGACGATGCTTCGCGAATCACACAGATTTACTCTCTTTTTTTCTTTTAGGTTCCTCGAAAATCCTCTCTATCAAAGGTATACCCGTTTTATTCGGCATAATATGATTTAGAAAACGAAATTTTGTTCTCGCGTTTTGTGAACAGGTCAAACGTGTTATGCGCTCGTCTTTACGTGCGCTACGAAATTGGATATCGAAGTCGAAACTTAAGAAGAATTTCGCGTGACGCGGACGCGGCGAACTATATACCTCTTGCAATTCATTATATGAGAGCTCCAGGAATTTTAGGCGTCTGGCTTTCTGCAGAGTGCCGTCGAGATTTCGGATCTTGTTCTGTTGGAGGAAGAGGGTCTCCAGACGGTGAAGGTATCGGAACTCGGCCGGCAGATGCGTCAGCTTGTTATCCACGGCGTAAAGCATCTTGAGATTGTGGCCGGACGACGGTAGCTCGCCGTCGAGTGACGTGAGCTCATTAGAATTAATGAGCAACCACTCGAGTTGATTCAAATCTCTGCAAAGCAAACAAATGGGGCACGTGGCTAAATCGCGGTGGTTAAAATCGCGGTGGCTAAATCCTGCTCTACGTGTTCGCCGCTGGAGCGAGCACGCAGAATCGCAGATTGTCGGGGAGTCCCGAGTACGATTTTAAAGGTCGATGCCGATCAATAGTCCACGCAGGGAATTTTCTTTAGTCAGCGATTCGCATACATCAAGCTTGATGGCTCGGACATAAACAGAATGAATTAGATAAGAGCCGTAGTGTCTAAACGATAAGTAAACAGGATGGGCGAGATGCTGCAGTAGCTTTCCAGCACAAATGCGAGGTTCAAAGATAATTTAATGGAAGCTATGTCTTTAGTGTCACCGACACTACCGCAGTGTATAATTTATCATAGCGTTAAAATTTCGATTTATTCACTCAAATTTCGCGTCCAAACTTACGAGAAAAGGTATAAGTCAATGCTACCTTAGAGTATGATTCAGGCTGTTTAGACGATTCCTTCCGACATGCAAATGTTTCACCAGAGGCGGTAGCGAACCCGGGGTCATCTCGGAGATCGCGTTTCCGGCCATGGCCAAGTGCTGAAGCGTCGGATTGTACTGAAATAAAAAAAAAAAGAACATTAAATTGCAACGTTGTATAATGAGCTTGATATCTCTTCTCTCCTTTCTGATGACTATTCAATTTTATGATTTTTTTTCCTTTAATAGTCTTTTAAATGAAGTATCTCTCTTGGAATTTTAATACTCGCTTCCGTTTTTTTTTTTTTTCGAAAAAAAATCATAGCACGTGACTAGGGTGCGGGTGTCGTGATATATCGCTATATCGCACTAACGGACCTCTTCGTTCTGCTCCTCTTCTCTCTCTTACTGTAGTGCACATGAACTCTAGAGATAAAGTAATCTAATCCCGAGTCACTTACCTTGAAGTCATCCAAATCGATGCGGCTTATCCGATTTCTGCTGAGGTCCAAAGTTCGTAGCAGCGATAGATGCGACAAGATGTGCCTCGGTATCGACGGCACCTCGTTGTCCGCGAGGCTCAAATACTGTGTACGGCCCAGACCGGCGAAAACGTCACCGTCCACGACCCTGCAAATCAACGATATCACGCTCGTTCACGGGTCCTTGACTTCAGGAAAACGATAGACGGACATACGGTAATCACGCGAGTGGCGTTTCCGCGCTCGTGATGCTTATTTTTCTAAAGACCTGTATCCTTTTCTTTTCGTCGCGCGGCAAGAGCAATAGTATTTCATATTCTATTACAACGCTGTTTATCGTTTGTGTAGTAATATGTGACCGGAGCAACGAGCCGAGCCAATGAGGACCCTGAAAAAGTGGCGACGCGCCAGACGTTATCGTTTGATTATACACTTAGTGTTGGCTCACTGCGACTCGTTATTTAATTATTCCACCACGGTAAACACACTCAGCTTCGCGCGATAACTCGCGCGAAGAGGTCAGGCACGATTAAGATTTCATTCTTACCGCCCCCGTCCCGCTGTCTCACGAGAATACTTAGCGTTCCTAAAGAGACGTTACGGTCCTCAAGGACCGTCATGTTTTTTTTTCCTCAGCCTCCTGTGTGGGACGCGCGCGGTAGGATATAATCAAGGAAGACTGGTAATTCGTCCTTTGTGTCGCTCATAAAGAATGACGGCCACCGCGCGGGACATTATACCGAGAAAAGACGAATGGTACAGAGCGAGAGCTCCAAACGTACGGACTGGAAAACTCGCGGTCTCTCGCCTCGACCGAGAGGCTACCGCACCGAATTCGCCGCAATGTCGAGGCATATTGAGACGATTTGTCGCCTTTCTTCACCAATCTCCGCGATAAAACCATTATGTAACGATATCCTGCTTCCGCCGTGCACCAGCCGTCGTGTCACGCCTGTTTTGTTATCATTGTTGTCGCTTTATCTAATTATACCGGGCGGAACCGTACAGAAAAGCTTGTGACGGATGCGATTGAGAGAACCCCGCAGGTGGTTCTCTGAACGAACCTTTATTATAAAGCATCTGAGATTGACAATCAAGCTTGACGATCAGCTATAAGATTTCAGTGATGATCCATCGTTCGCGGGAGCTCTCCCAATGCATCATCCCGACGAAAGTTCACGCGTCGGTTCAAACGTGTACGCAATGGCGCCGCGAACGCCTTCGCAAATACTCATTGTGAGAATTAAGATCGCTTCTTTGTTATACATATATAAATGCCTCCATTCAATGTCCGCAATAGCAGACGATGACCTTTTGCAAAGATACTGGCCGGCCGTATCGACGTGTGTGGCACACTTCACATAGAGACTATGCGACGGACTACGCGGGTACAGATGACAGACGTGCACCGCACGGCTCCGGCGTTTCGTTGCCGTTCAATTTTTGCCGTTAGTATTTTTCAACCCCGATTTTTTCCACTCTTCGGATCGTTCCGCAAAATTTTCGTAGAAACCTCGTTGATAATTAATTTTCACGCCAAGCCTTCCTTCAAATGTCCCGGTCGACATTGAAATTGATCGAGCAATCTAATCTGTAGCGAAAATTCCAAAGAAATAATCTTACGTATAATGAAAAAATGTTGAGATGAAAAGTTGCTTAGTTAGTGTTTACCGCATTTGAGGAATAGATGATCTCCGAAACCGTCGTTATCACCACAACTGTGTACGCAGCGAGTTGTAGTAACCGTGACTGATAATCAAGTCATTATCGCGTCCTCGTGATTCTTTACGTCTTCGAAGACTTCGGTACTTGAGCATAATCTTACCGTTCAAGATCATCGTTCACGCACGCATCGACACATTAGTAATTTTTCGATGGCAACGGAGTTCATCGACGAATCACTCCGTCATCGCTTGTCTATCGCACTTACCCGAGATGATCGTGGTTCAGCTCGAGTCGAGTGATGGACATACGCAGCTCCTTGAAGTCGTGGCGCGATATGTCACGTAAATTCGAGTGTGCCACTCGCAGGGTGATCTGTTGCTCGGGGGTGAATTTGCCGCTCAATGCCTCGGCCAATTGGTCAAACGACTTCATCTTCTCGCACAGCACCTCGATACGCTCCCCTACGTGGTGGTTATCACCGCCGCCTCCGCCACCGACGCCAGCATTGTTGTTCGCGTTGGCGACCCCGCCGGTGGACGCGGCCACCGTCGCCGCCTGGTTGATAACGGGACTGGGAAACTCCTCCTGTCGGCAGGTGCACGGGCTGATCTCACGGCGTACGGCGCAGTGAAGACTCGTGCTGGCCGCGAGGCCCAGCAGCGTGTAGAGAATCCCGGACATGCTGTCACTTGACGCGAGAGCGGGAACACCGAACTACCAAATGTGATTACAGACGCGTGTCAGGGCGATTGTCGGGTACGCGATCAAACGAAACCGCGACGACGTTTCGCGACAAGAGGTTTGCAAAACGGGACCACCCTCTGCGCGACCACCACTTACGCGAAAATGAATTACTTCTCCTCGTCTCCGCCACTCGATACACTATGTACACGAATGTTATAGGTCTCACGACAGTAATCGTCTGCGTTTAACTGTACGACTGTCCCTTGAAGAAAACACGAACGTCAACACAATGTTTCATAGCGCGTAAAACAAATCCGGAGCCCTTGAAAGCGCGGTGTTGTTTTTAAATATCGCTGTACCACCGATCACTGGTCAACACTGGCAGGCGAAATCGACACAGTAGCAGTAGCGACTGACAGCCACGTGTTATCTCTACTGTCGCCGATCCACACCATCCTACGGAATATAAGTTCACCGGGCCTCTCCCTCTCTCTCTCTCTCCTCTCCTTCGCAATCGCGGGGACGCACGAGAAGGAGGTTTATCGTCGTCGCCAACGGGCCTTCCTCTTGGCGCCACGGACGCGGCGACGGCATTAAGTCGCGGCGCGCCGCGCGAGACTTACTTATAGTCGCAACCGAGTCGTCGCGTCGGTACCCACCGTGGCGCCGCACGCCTCCTTCGGCGAGGGACTCCCTCCGGGCTCTTCTTCACTCTTCTTACGACCCCCTCCGTCGTACGTTACGCGCGTACACCGACGGGCTCATCTTCTTTTTCTACCGGCCGCGCGCTCACTCACGGAACGGTCCAGCCACGAACGGCTCGGCTCCAACAGCTGCTCTCCTCCTGCGCGTTACCACCACACCCCAATACTATGCATATTCTCGTTTCTCTCCTTCCTCGCCTCGTTGTTGTTCACCTCGTACTCCTCCTTCGTTCTCCTGCCCCCCCGCCGTGTCCCACAGCACGTTCCTTATACTCCCTCGCCGTGGCTACCGCGCTTACTCAAATCCGGTCCCCGGTAGGCGACGCTTTTATCTCCTTTTAGGTTTATCCAATTATTCCCGGAAGTTTTGATTGTTCGAAAGGAGGGAGATCTCTCACCTCCACTCGTGGAGCCTGACTCAGGAAAGGCGAAGGAGTTTCGCCAGGACAGCCGTTCCGACGAAAGATTCATCAACCTTTCCTTCGACGTTTGTCGCATCGTTGTTTGCACCGATAAACAGATTGCTCAACTTGTGACCTTTGCTTAACTGCTTCGCACGGTGCACGACATTAAAGAAAATATGTACCAGATAATTCTTTCGCGCTGTCTCTCCCACTCGCCCTCCATCGCGCTTTCTTCTTCTTCTTCTTTTCGTCGCAAACCATTTCATAGCTGTTCCCTTTCTCCTTTGTCGCTTTGCCTGTCTCCTCATCAAAACTATAAATCTAAAAATTCATTATACATTATAGATAATCGTCGACTATTGTAAGTTTAATTTAATTAACTTACATTTGGAAAACCAGAATTCTGAAAGATAAATCAAGCTGCAATTTTGTTTCTTTGTCGTAGTTGCGTTTTGGAAGCGAGGTTCTAAGGTTCGTAGCAGAAACTGAACGAATTTTTTTGGAATGTCAATTTGATGGGGCCAGCCGAGAGACAACTGTTGTTTGGCTCGTCGTTAGACTCGACTGATTCATTATCGGCAATTATTTAAGACGGAGTCGAGAAGTCGACCGAATGTCCTGCCTCTCATGCTCGGATGCATTTCGGACGAGTGATTTATGACGTTGGGTATCTCAGGTAGCCCGGTAGCTTTCGTCGCGACACCTTCTCTTTTCATTCCTTTTTCGTTACCCTATGTCTGAAACAGATATATATAATCCTAATCTTATCTTATGACTGCTCTCATTTCATTTTAATTGTCACAAGTATCGATATTATTTTGAAATGCGTCATCGAAATTCGGAGAGGCCGGAATTATAACGGGGCTTTTAATCAGAATGTAAGGGATCGCGCAAGAAACGCACGGCGTGGCGCTCTCGCCCGTTACAAGACTTTGGCGAGATAAAAATCCCAGTCTTACGTTCGTTAATCATCGTAAGGAGAGCAATCCCTGGAGTACGCGTGTCCGTGTCGAGATCGTAAGTGTTCTATCAAGGGTTTCTCTGTTCATCGTAAAATAATATCGATTACTTAATGAGCTCGCCGATGCGGCGGCGGCGCTTCACGGGTCGCTTGTCATCCGAGTAAACGCCTCTATCTATATAACGTGGCTGTTTACGCGCATGATTTACGTACCCATTTATGTGTTGTAACTCGCCAGAGGTTGTCGTGCAAATTCTCGAGTACGACGGCGCCACCGCGACTCGCCTTATATCCTCTTTAAGCTATTCCACATTGGCACCCATGGTATCTATCTGCACTGGCGCCTACAATTCACCTAATCTCTCCCGGCATAAAGGTCATCCAACTGTGGACAATGCGATGAAAAACACAGCTTTAATTTTTCGCGTATATTCTCGAGCTGAGAGAGATAAATTCCGACAATTTTCATAGCAAGAAACACGGTTTTATTCATTTCACCATCAAGGCAGAGATGCGAGAGAGGGAGTGAGTGAGTGAGTGTGTGAGAGAGAGAGAGAGAGAGAGAGAGAGAGAGAGGCGAGAGAGATTTTCTCTTCATCCCGCTGTTGTCGCTATTATTCTCTGCGGGCAGAGAGTAATACGGGAGCAAGGAAGGAAGTCACAACAAGCGGGAGAGGCCAGCAGGCAAAAACAAAGCAAGACAAGGCAAAGCGAGGCAGGGCACGAGGCATAAGGTACGAGGTATGAGGCGGAGGAACCTAACTCCGTGCCTCGGTTTAACGAATGCGAGAATGCGGCCTGGCGCCAACGCACACACGGCCGCCGCCGCCGCGCCAGCCGCCCTCAGCCTCAGCCGCCGCGTCACGCGCTCTTGCCTCTTTCGCCAGCTCTCTTTCTCTCTCTCTCTCTGTTTAATGACCTTACCGAAGTTCAAAATACTAAACTAAAACCGATCTTTTTCGATTTATGTGTCCGCCTCTGTGTTTGAAATATGACCAGCATATGTAAAATGTATGACAGGATTACTTTCAAATAAATAAACGCTTATTCTGGATCTCGGTATGATTGTTACGTTTTCCTCTATGTCTCTAGAAAATATTTCAATGTTATTCTCCAGGAATATTCTGTAGCATATCCCGCCGCTACAACATATGGGAGAAGGTTGATGATATATAATATAATATAAACACACACAAAATTCTTGCAAGCTGTTTACTCGTTTTAGCCAGTCTACTCAACTTGCTAATTTTAACTTGGCATATATTTTAAAACGGCTTGCAAACGACATCGCGTAATTAAAGAAAGTTATTACTGCAAAAATAAAATAAATCTTGATATACTTTACCCCCTCTCCTTTTTCTCTCTGCTATCGGCGCCCGTATAAGTACATTGTTTCTCTCCGACGCTCTGCCTGGATCTGTATACCGCATAGCTTCGAGGTATGCAGGCAAACTCCTCCTTTTCTTATCAAGAAAAAGAAACGGTGGAGGAAGGAAGCAGGAGGAGAGCCAGAGAGTGGAAGCAGAGCGAGGAAGGTAGCGGTGCGGGCATCGCGCCACGAGTATACACGATAGGCGTTTTACATGCTGCATTGAGATATTGAGAGATAATCGCCTGACGTGGGCGACGAGGACGCTCAGCGTGAAGATCGGCCTGCTCGCGATTTTGGAAGCTACTGGATCTCGTTATTTCTAATGTTGATCAATAGACTAATTGTTCTCCGCACGATGACAAATTAATCCGTCCTTTCTCGCCGCATTCTTCTTTCAAACTTTCTTTTTTTTCCCCTAAAAAATATCGAGTATTTATTTTAGATGCGTGTCTCGCATTGCGTTCCCGTTTCTTTTTCTCTTTCCGTTCCTCTCTCTTCTGTCACATTCTTGCGCAAGTCTCGCAACACGTTATCTTGCATTTTGCAATAAATAAGTGCATGCCTTTGAAAAACCGAAAAGGATATTGTAAACCTGCCAATTTTGCTTTCCTCTTTTATTAAAGGGAGAGTTATACCACAAATTTCTCGAAAGTTGCGGTCGAGTCCGAATTATATCCTCTAAAAGAAATGTTTGTCTTCGCTTTTTCACGCTTCTGGCATCTGGCCTCTTTTTCTTTCTTTTCTCTCTCTCTTTCTCTTTCCTTCTAACTCGTTCAGTTTACGCGGCGCCGCGTCGCGTGGTTGACCGCGAAAGGGGTAAAAAGAAACTGTATGAGAGCAGATTAAGTTAAGCACATACTGACGATCTAAATCTAGACGGGCGTCGTAAAGCCGCGAGTTTGGCCAGCTTTTCTCCGCATTTAAATTAAATCACGATGGACTTTGTTTTATTCGGACTCGTTCTCTAGAGATTTACATTTGCATCCTCGAGACAGTCGAAATTCCGCCTGACAATTTATCAACCAGAAGTAGGAAAACGATAAAGAAAAAAAAAAACAGAAGAAACGTTTCGCATCTTTCCAGCTTTGCACTAATTTGCGTTATTTCAAGCACGAGTATTTTGTATAGTGGGTCCCGTTGTCTATGAACATGCGCAACCAGTTCAGCAATAGAAAACAGACCCAGGATCGCGAAATGAGTTTTTGTGCATGTTTGCGCGCGCCAATCGTACACGTCAGATGATTGTCATTTGGTAATACCGTATATACGCCCCTCCGTACGCCCCTCGTCGAAATATTCCGGGCGACGTTGAGAGCCTCTGACACGTGTGTTTACGATAGGGATTTAAAAGTCGGCGTCCGGTATCCCGTGCCTTTCCGCCGCGGGCCGCAGCCGAATAATCCCGGCTGAACTTTTCACTTCCATCGCTCTTGCTTGATTTTCGTTTTCTGTACCGGACACCAGGACCCTCCGGGGGCCGCCGCGTTCCTCGTCGCAGCGGGGACCGGGAGAGAGACACGGCGGTTGGATGTCGTGGCTCGATGCATCGGAGCACCCGTCGCCGTCGCGTTGGACCCCGAGGAGGACGCTTCCACGTCGCGGGATGTAGATGACGTATATCCATCGCTTCCTGTACACGATACCAAAACACCATTAACATTCTTCCGACGAATATCCCAGCGAGCAAAATGCTAGCGGTTTGCCAATGGACTCGAGCAGAACATCGCCGGCAGATCGGCACCGACTGCGTCCACATCAAGCTTTGGATTCTGCCAGCGGAATCCATCGACTTAATCTAACAGCGATAGAAACCGAGCAAAATCTATTATTTTGTTAACGATTATTTTGTTAGATGGTACACGTCATTCGAATACGAAATGGTAGATTCTGTTCGATTTCTGTAATCCTTCTCAATCTGTCCCTTTTATGTTTCATTAAAAATTCTGCTACATTTGCAAAAATTTGTGGCATTTTGTCGAATCTGTTTTCGACAGATTTGGAATACCCACTGTCCATAGAATTATATTATTACAAAGAAGATTAATGAGCCAACAATACGAGCATAAAACGTGTAATATTAAATTACAATTTATTCTCAAATAGCAGGGAAATCGTTTTGCTGGTAGCGTTGGCCCAATAATCTCATCCTTACATTGCAATAACATAATTCCATGGTCATTAATTTCTTTACATTGCACTGCATATAACAAGCTTAATTTCCTATTAAGTATATTATTCTTATGGGGACTCCTTGCATGCAGAATCCTTCTCTCTTGCACTGAAGAATACTACCCTCAATTACGGAATGCGAATCGCTGTCCGCGGCAAGTGGGGGACTATTGCATTTTGACTATTGCGTTTCGCCTGGGAAAACAAAAAGCCTGAAAGGAAAGAAAACGTAAAAAGAAGAAAAGATGAATCGTGAATGAACTTCAGCTAAAACTGCTAAACCGAACAGGCCTAAATAAGCGTTGACTTTCAGAGGATGAATTTTTTGTCCCCTTTACCTTCTCTCAACTTTTGACGTATGTACATGTCGATGCACTTTCCTAACTTTCCGTAAAAGTCAAAACTCTTCTCGGACGTCTGAAACGTACCTATTTCGGCCAACGATAACGAAATACGGTAATTAAAGAGAAATGATCGAACTTTGTGTCGTTCAACTCGAAGAATCCACTCCACTTTAAATTATGCATCGTTGTACCATCTACCGTCGAGTTCGCCAATCCTCGACCCAATCCTCGGCACGCCGCCTCTCCCGGGAGCACACATAGGGACTATCGCCGCCGCGTTGTTGGTCAGCGCTCGCCGCGTCGTTGCCGTCGGCGCCGTCGCTGGTAAGCGGGCATTCTGGGTATTCTTGGGTAACGTCCATCGTCCATCCACGTCCATCGCGTCTCCTCCCCGACTCCTTCTCCTCCCTGCGCCAACCCTCACTCGTCACTCGTCCCGCGACATTGTGAATTGTGACGACGTTATGAGACTCGCGACAAGGGCCGATCGCGAGAACGTGACGGGCGAGCGAGCGTAGGGAGCGAGCGCGCAGTGAACGAAGCGGAGTCGCGGATCGGTGAACGTTGCTCTCTCCGGCCGTTCGTCCAACGATTTCTCCTCTCGTCTCGTTTCGTCGGCCGTGTACGCAAGCGGAGCCGCGGACTCGAGCAGCGTGGTGACGAAGCGCCCGGGGAGCGTGGATCCGTGAGTATCCCGTGAATATTCCGGTGCCGTCGTCGCATCCGACGATATCCCGAGGTTTTTCGCCGGAGCCCCCCGCGCGCGCGCCCGCGCGCCCACGAGGATGATCGACCTAACAGTCAAGACCTTGGACTCGCAGAATCACGTCTTCTCCCTGGAAGACGACGTAAGTCGCTCCCCCTTCTCTCCTTTCCAGTCCCGTGATCACGTGGCGATCGCATCGCGGTTTTGGCTGCGATCGGGCACGAGTATGTAGCGGATGTCGGATGTCCCGTAGAAACATCTGGAGATCACGGGACAGGCGTGCACGGCGTGTTCCGTAACACCCCGAGCACGCCACCTCCCACACGGATCTCTTTATTTGTTTAATTATATAATGTATCTCTGAATATTCTCTCTCTCTCCCCCCCTGAAGCAAATCACGGTACGCGGCTTTAAAGAGCATATAGCCGAGTCCGTCGCGGTACCAGCTGATTCGCAGAGGTTGATTTATTGCGGACGGGTGCTTCAAGACGAAAAGAAATTAAATGATTATGGTACATATATCTTATGCTTAAAATAAATGATTTGCCGCAAGCTAAGCGGAACGCAACTGGCGTGCACTGACCCGACGTGATTCTTCAGATGTCAATGGAAAAGTTATACACCTGGTGCAACGCGCGCCTCCCCAGCCTGGCCAGCATGGGAACGACGGCGGGCAGACCCAGGGTCAGACACCGGGGCAGAGGCAGGGTTGGCAGAACTCACAGAGGCCGCATTACCGGGTCACTCGTACCCAAATGCATGGAAACGCCATGTATCTAGGTGCGATGTCTGTGCCAGCGGAGATCGTTGAAGGCCACGGTAATATTCTAGGTATTCTCTTTTTTTTATTTCCTTCGCTTGTACTCTTCTCGTTAACGCATCGCGTTTTTATTGTTCCCTCAGGTATACCGCAACTGAGCAACAGTTTGTCCGGTAGCCGGCTGAACCATGCCGGTCGACTGCTCGATCGTATGAACGAGCTGATCGATCGGCTGGACGATCCTAGCGCTCCTCCTCTGCATCCGCCCCCGGAGGTCAACCAGGCGACGCAGCAGCAGCAGCAGCAGCAACAACAGCAACAGCAACAGCAAGAGGCAGAAATTGAACAAAACGAGTGAGTTGAATGACCATTTAGGTCGTAGGTTTTCTCGCGTGGCGCAACAACGCTTTTGTATGTAATTCTTCAGGACCAACGACGTTTCTAGAGACGACGGTGTTAGACTTGCTGAGGCAGCTGCCGCCGCCATCACAGCCGCTTTGTCAGCTGCTGGGGCACGTGCAGTTACATTGTTCAGAGGTTTGTACATTTGCGAGTCTGGTTACTTTCAAGAGGGGCTCGACACAATTTACAAATTTTGAAATGTGTTTTGGATGCTCGGCGATAATTAGGAAGCAGTTACAACGGTGGGAGTACGAGAACTTCAAGCGATCCAAATGAGCATCAAAGTGATGTGCAACCATCACAGTCACAGTCTCAATCCCAGTCGCAGTCACAATCGCAATCGCAGTCGCAATCGCAGTCACAATCGCAATCGCAATCGCAATCGCAGTCACAACCGCAATCGCAGCCACAGGCACAATCGCAACAGCAACAAACGCAAGCGACTGCAGACGCGGGAGCAACATCGAGCAACGCTAGCCAAAACAGGCGAGCTCAACAGCAGGAGTATGTGTTAATGTAAATATTTTTTGCCAGCTAATTAGCAAATGTAGATGTATATGTGATTGTTAAGTATTTATCTTTTAGTCTCCCGCGACCTCCGCAGATGGCAGAATTATTGCAAAGACTGTGCACCACCCAAGAACGGCTGAGACCTTATCTGGAACGTTATTGCATGCTTACGCTTCTTGATCCTTCATTACCGCCCGGGGTAAGTCAATAAAGTGACCTCGGCATTGTGTGATCGTCGAACACATTCAAGTACAGTTCCGTTTTACTGATGGCGACCATTTATTGTTTAGCCCGGGCCGAACACCGTAGAGGAAAGTCAGAGAATAGTGGATGGAGTCAGTGAAATTCTCCACCTTATGTCGCACAGCTGTCACGCGCTGAGCGACATTATCATTGACATGAGTCAACCACCGCCTAGAAACTTGCGATGCCGGCCAATAATAGTACAGCACTCGGCCATTCTACAGCCTAGTATACCGATCCAGGTAGAGGTAAGCATGTCAATTAAAAATACATAAGACATAAATAACTCGATACCGCACGCCTATTTGTCCAAGCAATTAATACGGTCTTAACATTTCCCTTCTTTTTTTTTCACAGGCTCATATCAGTTTGAACGGTCGCAGCGCTAATAATAACAACAGTAACGACGAGACGACCGAGTCTAGTAATCAGGCGCAGTCGGAAAACGCGGAATCGGCAACTTCGTCGCGCGTTAATACTGAGGAGGGTAATCAAGAGCGAGAATCGGACAGCGGAGCACAGCCACAGGCGGAACGATCGCAACAAGACCAAGGCCAATCGCCTTTCGGTACGTTTCGTTTTATTGCAATACGATTTTATGAAATATTAGACAGCACGTTGGAATACACGTCACTTTTCTAGATACGGTATTCAATTTGCCGAACAATGTTGAGGTGCTGATGGAAGTTAGTTCCGAGAGTAATATAGATGCTGGATCGAGCAATGAACAGAACGCGTCAGGCAATGAAACCAACAATAACGCCCGTAAGTTGGCGTCATCGAGTGTTACGCGATGCGTTTGGCAAGAGAAGCAACGTTTACCTATTTGACATTTTCCATTTTGCAGGCAGGACAAACGTATTTCCATTCGGCACGCCACCGCCGCCTTATTTATTGCGAAACTTTATGCAAGCCGTTCACGGACACATGGTGCATGGCGGTATCACTACCACGACTATAAGCACGAGAAATCCTCCCGTTACTACTGCAGGAGCGCAATCGGTCTCCTCGTCGATGGATAGCGGAAGCACAAATGCCGGTCAAAGCACTCAAGCACGGTACAACTATTTATAAATTATAAGTAAAATTGTCGAGATGATGTTGACAATATTTTTGTGATAAGTAAAATATTGGCGAGATGATATTGACAATATTTTTGTGATAAGTAAAATATTGGCGAGATGATATTGACAATATTTTTGTAGCGCTATGAAATCATTTTATAATTTACATGACATTTTTCATTATTTTGAGCTCTAAATTCACTCATTTAAAGTATCTCTAAAGACATCTAATATTAAATGATTCTGAAATACACAGAAGCAATACTGGTACTCATCCTACCACTGCTACACAAACTCGAAGTACATCACGGCCGCACGTGTTCCATCATCACGCTCATCCGATGGGTCTCGGCATGAGTATTGGACTGGGTCTTGATTTCGATCCCTACCTTCCATGCAATTCGCACCATGTCTACCGCTCTCCGAGTACCGCCTCCAATAGCGCGACCGGCGTGACAACTTCGCAACCAACGCGCACGGCGTCGACAGCTACAGCGGACGCTCAGAATCAAACAAATCAAACCGGTAGATAATATGAGGATAATAATTTTTTTTAATATGCGTTTCTAAAACTAAAAAAAAAAACATTTTCTAGCAACGACTTCGACTACGACGACCAGTGCTACCTCTACGAACGCAACATCGGCGACGAATGCTGAAACAGCTACTAATAATTCTTTCGTGAATTTTATGCAGCAGTTGTTAAATCAGCCGACGGGTGGTCAATCGCGACCCATCAATACGAACGGTAACGATAATTTAAATGTGATAACGGCAGATTTTAATATCTCGATATTAACGTTGATTATGTTACAGCTCCAAATTTGATGGAAAGCATTGAAAATATAATGCAAATAATTGGTAACAATATACGCGTAGGATTTTTGGGCGATAGGTACGTTAAATTATGATTAAAGAAGGAATCATTCGTTATGAATATATGTATAACCCTAAATCGCGTAATTCTCTTGATCAGCTCAATCAGAAATCCTACATTGGCCGATCTGTTTGAGGGTGGAGGATTATCTATGGATCTCTTCACGTCGCACGGATCCGGCAGAGAGGAGAACTTCCTCGTCGATCTCTTCGTATTGCTGGTAATTTCACCATTGCGTTTACCACGTGACCGATGCGAACTTTATTATCCACAATACTAAGAGAAAATTCACACCACACAGGCACAATCTATGTCTCTGGATGGATTGCTCAGAGTACGTCGAGGTCAATGGGGACCGATCGCTCGTCTTCGAAGACCGTTGCAAGAGTTTCTACAGTATACATTCTCGAACGCCTCATCACCAGAAGCCATTCAAGAGCAAGCGACTGAGCGTTTACTTTCTCAATTACGACCTCACATTCAGAATCTCCTGGCGTCCGAGGAAGACGCCAACGGCAGAAGTGGGTCCCGCGTTGACGTCTGCGCGACCATCGAATCGTTGATCACTCGCCACGCAAGAGATATACTTAGAAGCTTATTCGATAGCGGTTAGTATTTTCTAAACGTGTTGCATACATCTTAAAATCAACAAATCAAATTCATGCGTCGGATTTACAGGAATCGACGATGCGAGGTTCGGTCAGGACATATTGAACATCCTAATTAACATGTCCAGCCAAACTGTACATGTACTTCGGTATTCGCTACGTGGCGGCCAAGCTGGATTGGAGGCGATTGCGACGCGTTTTATGGTTAGTCTTGATTCCCTTGAATCTTATTCTACAACAATGCGGAGGGAATTTACGTATGTTCCACACTAACGCGATTTGGTTGGTTGCTTTGTTCTTAGCGTGACTTGATGGACGGTGGCAATCCCGCTCTTCTCCAGTGGGTGCTGAACGGATTTATCACCCATCTTCGTACTTACTTTTTGTGCGTACCACAACCCCCGGATTCGGAGATCATACCACTTTTGGTGTATAGGGATGCATCGTCTCAACCGTCATCGCAATCCTCAGCTTCGACTCGCCAATCCACACAAGCCCAACCGGAAGATGAGGTAATCACTCTTATAAATATTTTAAATGTGTAAGAATACAATAATATAAATAATATTCTAAATGTATAGCCGATGGAAACCGAAACTCTCGAGCAACAGCAACAACAACAGCAGCAGCAACAGCAACAACCGGCACGCGAAAGCTCGATATCTGAGGACCGAGAAGAAATCCCGGAAACATTCCCTGGCCATGAAGCTTTACCTTCGGTATGTTACACGAATACAAAGAATTTTTATTGCATTTAATCCGTAATATAACCAAGATTCTTAAATTAATAAACAAATTTTCCGTAGAAATTTGTTAACGTATGTTTTGAGATGATTTAACATCGCCGTTTGGCAACATATGTACATTAATAAGTTGGATATACTTATTTCTAGGATTGGGTGCCAATTATCGCTCGCGATGGCGTGCGACAACGTAGACAATTGCAGATGCAGGGTGTAACGCCGAACAGCGGCGTGACGACGTTTAGCGACGCGTATCTAGGTGGTCTACCGAGCAAACGTCGCAAGTTGATCGAACAGCAGAAACCGCGGTTACTAGTCAGCCCCACGCCAAACCATCATTCGACAATAGCAGCGTCCATGGAACGGTTAGTCAGAGAAGGGGTCGGTCATGCCGGCGTCGAAGAGGTCGAAGGTGCCGCCGTGGCCGTCGCGGCGGATCCCGCTGTGCGACGCGCGTTTGGTCAAGCGATCAGGGACTGTTTAAATCCGTGCCGATACGGCACGCCGGACTTTCCGGACCCGTTACGCTTCCCGAACGCGACCAAATACTTCGCGGATCAGGAGCGCCCGCCGAAATAATAACCAGCTGCAAGATATAATATCGTACTCGGACTTGCACTATCAGATTAATGGAGATATGTTAGATAACATCGGAGAATAAAAGACGAAGTTATTGTCTACCGAAAGAATCGACGCGCAAGGAACGATTCCGTTAAAAGGAAAGAGAAAAATGCGATTTTCTCTTTTCCTCTCAATGGAGAGAGTGAAAAAGAACGAATACATTTTTAACTGGCTGATTGGCACGGTGCAGATGTATCTATACATTATCCATATGCTCATATATTAATATCTGCTTTGGTAGAGTCACACTTTTTTTACATATTACATAGAATTACTCTCCGAATTAAGTTTATAATTAATGTTTAGGTTCTCCCTGTTCAATCGAATTTTCGATTAAGTCGAGTTTGGGAAAAATTGACATCAATTACTTAAAAAATTGATAGTTTTTCAGAAAATTGATTGATCATCAATTTCGTAAAAAATTAACGTTAGTTTCGCGGAAAACTGACATCATTTCCGTTAAAGAAATATAGGAATACCCTGTATATACATAAATGTAAAAATTGTTAACTGCGCACCCCCATCTATTTATGATTTTTTGCACCTGCTAGTTTTGGATCGTCTTCGCTTGCGTAAAATGTGCTTATATTCTTTTCTCTTCCAGTTCCTCTTTCCCCATTAAGTTGGCTGTTCCAAATTTCAGCATTTGCCGTGACTCTGATCGTAGGAAGAGTAATAGATCGAATTTGGTATACGTTTCCTTTGGTAGTCGCAAAATGCATATAACAGTGCGTCATTTTGTCGAAAGCGATAGCGTTGTAAGTTTTGAGTAAAGTTTTATCCCGGATGTATCTCACGCGGATAATTTGATTCCTTCGAGATTCGATCGCTCTCGAGGGCGTTTTCGGTGCGGTCTCTTTTTACGACGCACATTCTCTACACGCGAGTCACACATACGAGAATAACAGGCAAATTAATCCGTGATTATGATAATGTATTGTATGTTTAATCGTTCTAATAACCAAACAGTTGTACTGAAAAAAAGAAGAAAAACAATAAAGTTGTGTATCCCTTTTCCCCTTTGTCTTACCGCATCGATCTGCACCTCCGATTCTTAAAATCGTCGGGTTATCTCGCTCGAAGAAATTGATTCGTAAGAAGACCATCGGGGATCGTTAGAATTCCCATGGCGATAGCAAGAAAAAGGTGAGTGCGGTTTTAATCCCCAGGATTAACGCAAAATCTTTCAGTAGCTGAATAGCGCGAAACAAGTGGCAAATAATTACCCGCGCTAATTAAATAACGTGATGTTAGAATATTTATGGAATCTATCAAGTAAATTAGAAATGAATGTGCTACATTATTTCATTACTAAATTAATTTTACTTGTGTCCCTTATTTTTTTTTCTAATTTCTCATTAATTTATCGAATAACCGGAGCCGATTGCAGGCATGGAACGTGTATACCGTGCCGTGCCATCGTGGCACGTATAACATCTGCAATACGTAAAAGCGCATCGGTAATTACACGCGTGACCGATTATCGCGCCCGCCGAGAAATCGGATCGCTTTACGTACGGTCCACCTCCGCGAACTCGATATCGTCCATAAAATTTTCATAATCGCACGAGGCGTGGGAAGGGTCATTATCGAGATCGCAATTGCGGCGAATTAGAAAGGGCCGGATAGCTCGCAATTTTTAAACTCGTTCCTGCCCCCCCCCCCCTTCCCCCATCGTCGTCCGTCGCCGTACCGTCGTCACTTCGGGGCGACCCGGGCGACATTGTCCGAATTCCGTTTCAGTTCGAGAGCGCGGCGGGGGGAGGGGGATGTCCTACAAATCGGATTTCGAGTATCTCTGACTAACGAGAACAAAATTCACTCGATTCGCGATAATCCTATTTGCGCGCGCAATCAAGAAAAATCTAGATTACGAAAATTCCCAATCGATAATCGGAGTGTTTACATCAGGCTATGAAAACAACGTCATTTAATTTCCGCGAGGAACGACTCGTTATCGTTCGCGGATCACTCGAGAATCTTTAGATCGATGAGATCTCGAATCCCGCGTGCGGGATTCCATCACCCGTGCACGTGTGTTAAGGTGATGTCGTTCTTTAATCACCGGCGGTATTACACCGCGCCGATCGAGCGATACGGCGATTCCGAAGCGAGACTTATTCGCGACGACAACGGGGGCTTATTTCTCGGCCGTCGGGCGTAGGCCCCCTCCGATCCTCCCGCGAATTACAACGTAACGTCATGTAGGATTTCTTTCTCGCGCGGGAGAGGGAAGGGGGCGATCGTTTACACGCTTGGCCGACGGTCCCTCCGAGGCTCCGATTCATCGCCGGGGCCCGGCCTGAGTGCAAACGTCGTCGAGCTACAATTTCGAGAAACGTTCCGGAAAGGAGAGACGAGAGACGTCGGCATTAATTGGTCGCGGACGAGGAACTCGGCGACGACGCTCTTCCACGCTTCTTCCTTCTTCGAGGGACGTTTTTTCGCGCTCGCCCGCGGGGCGACGAGGACGACGTTCCCGTCGCGGTTCCCTTTCCGCGCTCGGAGTGGTTCGGAGCAGAAGAGACCAACGGGAATACAGCCCCCCCCCTTCTCTGCCTCTCCTACCCACCCCTCGTCATTCGCCGCGCCGAGGTATATCCTCGACCGCGTATACCGCGCTTACACCACGTATACCCGCGCGTATACCACGTCCACACGTACGTATGTACACGCGCGCGCGGTCCGAAGGCTCGCGGGGGAAGAGAGCCGCGTAGAAAGGCATAATAAAGGCAGGTAGAGAGTATACGATGTCCGCGCGGACTCGACGACCGGCTGTCTACCGCTGTAGCTGGGGAAGCGCGCGCGCGATTGGCCCGCGGGCCGTCGTTCTTTCCGCCGGATTGGCCTTTTTCCCCGCTCGACGACGCCTCTTTATTCTGCCCGGGGCGTCGCCGCAGATTTTTATGCGCGCAGGTTGGCCACGTCGCGCCGAGCGCGATTCTTATAGGCCGCGTCTCGGACGTCTTTCGGTCCGTGCGGTCCGCGCGGACTCGCGGCCGCTTTGGTTGCTGGCTGCTGGCTGCCAGTGCTGCCGCCGCGCTGCTACGAGGCCGAGGTTAAGACGCCTTGGCAATCAAGTAGAACCTCGGGCAAGCAGGGCCGGTTACGGGCGCGCGGCGCGGCGCGGCACGGCGTCGCTGGTCGCGTCGCGTCGATGCTACGCACAGGAAGGAAGGAGAGCGCGAGGATGAGGATGGAGGGAAGGAGCGAGAGAAAACGTACACGAAGGCGGCCATATTTAGAAAAGGAAATCAGCGAAGAGCATTTCGCGCCGCGTACTCCAACCGAGCTACTCCTCCTCTCTCGCGCGACCCTCCATTCCACAACTACGACGACGACGACGACGACGACGACGACCACCTTATCGTTTCGCTCTCGTTCCCCGGCACCGGTTCGATCTCTACACCGGGGGCGGGGGGGGGGGGGAGGCCTCTTTCCGCAGCCCGTCGCTCCAATGGATTTGACAGATGAAAAGTAACAGGCCGCGTCTCTCTTTCTCGCGCGTACCGATACCTTCTCTGATGCCGAGACGAATATTAACGGGAAGGGACGGGACGGGCTGGAGGGGACAGAAAGGGGCAAAAGGCGCGAAATAAGTCACGTACTTTTTTTCGCGTGTAACGGCGTCCCGGCGCTAATAACGAATCGTCCTTCCTCTCTATCCTACGTTCCTCCAATCTTTCTCTTTCTCTCTTTCTCTCTCTCTCTCTCTCTCCCCCTTTCGCTTCGCGCGCGAAATGCTCGAAAATGCTTGCGAAACCTTTTTTTCGCGGCTGTACATATACACACGGGCGCGTCCCCCTCCCGCTCGCGAATGTCGATGGTATACTGCGCGCGTAATCACGTGCGGAGAGACGGCTCCGTGGCGGAGTTTTCCGAGGGCTTTTTTGCAGTCGCGGAGCTGCCTGTCGTTGAGTCGACGAAGCATGGGGGCGTAGGGGAGAAAGCTCGAAAGCTTTTTCCGCGTCGCACCTACACGAACGCATAACGCGATTTCTTCTTCGCGCTTCCAGCCTCCCTCCCCTCTCGCTTTCTCTCCCTTTTCTTTCCTCCTGCGTTTTTCACAAGTTTCCACGCGTACGCAGAAACTTCCAAATCCTTCTCGTAATATCCCATCCGGACTCGCGACTCTTGTCATTTTCTCTCGCGAGCGTTTCGACATACGAATCAAAATCGCCCGTACCCTTCGTCAAGGAAAGATCGACTCGGGATTGTTTGAAAAATTTCGCGGTTCGAGGGATGTGCGCTTAGATTTTCGCGCGTGTGTGACGGGCTCGCGAGCCACGGATTTTCGAGCGTGACGAGAGAGGAGAAGGCTCGATCGATCGCTCGAAAGCTCGTTCGTGCCACGGTCCCGAAGGAAAGAATGATTCTGGGAATTGGGAGCGTGTCGCCGGCGAGCGACCGAGTCGGAATTCGTAGTCGTCGTCGTCATCGTCGTCGCTGTCGGCTTCGCGTTCGCACGTACGCGCGCACATCTCGGCGTCCTGTGTCCCGCGCCGACGTTTTACGCTCCGTGCCAATTGGCAGCCGTTGCGACCGCTCGGAATAATGCCAATTAACACGTTTTTCGACGAGTCAACCGTTCGTCGCGTTCGAACGCGAATGGACGGCGAGCGTGTATCCGGTTCGCTCGACGAGCGGCGCGACGACCGGAGTCCTTCGGCTCCGAAATATTTTCCCAAACGAATCGTGCGAATCGAAAGAGAGAGAGAGAGAGAGAGGGGATGCGAGCGCATCATCTTCAGACCCGAAATCGAGCGCTTTAATATTTTTATCGCGATTCGCGTTGTAAAATACGCTCGACACTTTGTTTGAATTCGCCACTGGACGAATAGCTTGAAAGATTAGATTCTTCTTCAATTTGCCTACGTTGCCGCGTCGTAGAAATATCTTCTTTTTATCATCGCGTACGAATCGTGCGATAGCGAACTCGCGATGATTTTTGCAAAAGCCTCCGGAAGCCGATACCGATAGAAAAGTATCGCGCTTCAAACGCATATACCGGTAATTGGCGTACGAAAGCTCGAAGGCGAAGAATTATCGATAAAAAAAAAAAGAAAAGAATCGATAGGCTCGATAAACGAGACGTTCCGCTCTCATATTTACAAAAATAATCCCGCTAAGTAAAAGATCGAAACGCGCGCTTCGAGAACGGGGGTATCGAGAACGGCGCCGCTCGATCGAGAGTGTTACAGAAAATATTGTGTTTTGTATAGCGCGATAACGCTAACGATAAAGCCTGGCGAGTTGTTTCTTTTTTTTTTCCTTTGGGCTCCGAGATGCGTTCTCGGGAATAAACGAGACGCCGAGCATTATCGCGGCCACTTATAGTTGCACCGCGCGTATATACGCGGTTATCTCTCAAGTCGTAACATTCTTAGCCCGCCCGTCAGTCCGTCCGTCCGAGTGGAATGTCGATAAGGCGCGAGATAATGTGGGACAGCGGCGCGTTTTCTACCGAGCGCGCTCCATTTCGACAGCGCGCCCCGATAATAGCCGTATTGTATATGCGTACACCTATATATCTCGAGCGATAATGGTACCCCAAATATACACAAATATGCATAATGATAACGAGAGCAAAGAGCCGGTCGACAGAAGTTGGAAAAGGTGGAGAAGAAACAAATTATCGATATACACCTCTTTAGAAAGTCAGTATATATCGACCAACACTTTCGACACGGTTCGTCAATAGAGGCGGAGCTACCTTTTTATCTGTGTTTTTTTTTCCTCTGTCTCATTGTGGACACAGCATTGTCCGCTCTTCATTCGTTACGTCGGCGTCGATTCCTTTAATTGTGAGAACTTTTCTTAATACCCCCTGTTTATGCACGCGTGACTTATGTTTGTCCTTTCAAACGGAAGACACGCTACGATTTTAACAGCAACTTTTCACGCCTTTTCCATTCAGTTTGTCAGAATCGACATTTGTCTCTTTTGAAATTGTCTAGTTTTTTTTTGTTTTGGAGGGCGCTTAATGCTTTTGGAGTCTTACTTTTTGCTGTCAATGGTAGGTAATCTCTAGCAGTTTTTTCCCTTGGAAAGACTCTCTTAAAGACTGCCTACCGCTGACGCCGTCGTGCCTTCTGAATTCTCTTTGCTGATTTTCAGAAACATTTAAAATACCAGCTCAGCAGGTGTCTTAAAACGCGCGTGTGACACGTTGCGATATAATCACATTTTTTTGTCCTTCAGTTTAGGAAGTCTCGTATTTTTTCTCAACGTAATCTCTATTGCTCTTTTCGAAATACAGTATCGTACGCTCTTCTCTCTTTTTTTTTGCCATCTTGTCAAATTAACCCTTAGCCCGCAAACCTGGGTCGTTTTCGTCCGGGCGAAAATCAAATATAGTTGTAACTTTTGAATACAAATTATGTGAAAAAATTAAATTGTTTATAATTTTATGATTGACATTTTAAAGTGAAGCTTTGAAACATCTTCATGAATTTTTTCAGATTTTTTGCAGCCCTTTAACACTTAAAAAAACGTCATGACCCAGGTTTGCGGCGTAAAGGTGCCAAAAAAACGTTTGCAGGTTAAGGGTTATTTTAAAAGATATAAATTCCTCGAGCTGCTCCATCACGCAATCCCTCACGTCTCGTTCGCGTCGATAAATTATCATTCGGATTCTTTATATCGATTAACTTTCCGAGCGTGTTTTTCTCCGTCCCGTTCGGAAGTCGGCGACCGATGGTCGAGACTCGAAAATTTCGACGAAAAGAATCCGTATAGCGTCCCGACGACTTTTCTCTCCGCGGGGCGTCTCGTCTCGCAACACCGTGACGAATTCAATTGACTCCAGAGAGGCGACCGAAGAATCTACAACTATAAGGCGTGAAAGAAAACATCCCATGTTGTATGCATATCCGAATTTAAGTAATCTTCGAGAAGTGACCCCCGCGGACTTTTGTTTTCGAAAGCGACGAAAGAGAAGTTCGGAATTACACGAACGATTAAGGAAAATCGCTTTTTCCCGGCGGAGCTGGCCGAGAAGGAAAAAAGCAACGTTCGTCGAAGAGCCGTTCGTCATCCAAAACGGAAGCGTCGTCGGAAGTACCTCCTTCGGCGGAGAGCACGTGGAGGGCGCGCATCCGAGGCGACACCTGGCGCCCGGAAGGTGGCGGGCCGAACGTTTCTTCGCCGACGTCGGCCGCGTCCGCGTCGGCGACGCGGCTCCGGCTCAGTTGACACACGCGCGTCGTCGGGTGCGCATCGTATCGCGCACGTCGCCCGTTAATTTAGTCGCGTCTAATGCCCGCGGTTTTCCGTGCGGGCGCATGCAGGAACGCCGTTTTACTCATGCGCGACTCGCGGATGCCCCACGTGCAGTTCGCGTCAGCTTGAATTCGGCCGCCACCCCGAGGCTGGACATGAGTGCGAGGGTGAATTGATTCCCTCCCCCTCCTCCCTCGGACCCTGTTTTTCTCTCCCCCCAATTTTTCGTTTACGCACGCTTCGCGGCTGTGATGTGCGACGGCGAGAGACTCGCTCTTCACGAGGCGCGGTAGTGACGTGTAACGTAAAAGGAGGGAAAAAAAAACAAGAAGAAGAGTCAATCAGGATATTCAGATATGTACCCCGGCGCCACTATGAACGCGGCGGCGGCGGCGGCCGTGGCGGCCGCGGCTCGACATCCGGTACGTATAATACGAGAGACCCTTCTTTTGTTCTTTCCTTCGTCGGGGTCCGCGGGGATTGGGAAGACGTTGTTGGGCGGGACGCGGGAAATCCAGGGGACGCTATTCCCTCCGAAATGTCGAGCGCCGAGCGAGCGCCTTTGATCGTTCTTTTATTTTTTTTTTTTTTTTCACGCGGATCGTTTCCTGATTACTTACGTCGATCAATCAATTTATTAACTTCAGCTTACATCGCCAATTTTTTCTTAAAACACTCGTATACCATTCATACTTCTTATGTTCACTCGTATACAAGGGGACTTACTCCGGATTCCATTGAGCATCTTCGAGTCGATTGAATTCTTCGCGGAAATACCGAGGCAATTTTCTAAGTCGTAAAAAAAATTCAAGATTCAGAATCAGTTCGGGATCAAGAGCCCAGTGAGAGAAACAAATGATACCCTTCGGTTCCATTATCCCTTGTTGAAAGGAATTTTAATCAATTTACTTAAAAATCTCAATCGAACGATCGGTAATAATAATTTAATATACGAGGATACGCAACGTCGAAAGCCCACGGTCAGTCGCGACGATCAGCCGTCAAAGGGAATTCGACTCGAAATTGTGTACTCTCCGAAGGAAACGCGATTAGCGAAGGACACTCCACACATTGATAAGATAAAAGTCTCGCGTTTCGCGTAATTTGCCTTATCTACAAACTGAACGAGGAATAAAGTCCGTAAACGCAAACGCCATAAAGATTACGCGACACGCGGGAAACGGCGGCGGTGAGACTCGATGAAGTTGACGAGTCAACTTATTGTGGTCGAACATTTCTCGAAAATTCCCAACTTTTTCCATTTCCGAATAGACAGGTATTTCTTTCCGTCTCGTTCCCATTGTGATCCCGTAAATATTTCCGAACTTTTCACTCAGGGGACCAGTCTTCGCATTTATTTGGAGACGTCCTACGTGTTCCGAAATACCGTAGAAGTTTGAAATTTCAAGCCGAAGTAACACGATTATGCTGTGAAACGAGGGTCGCCGTTGATGATCATGGTCCTTATCAATTTTTTTTTTTCGCTCTGCCCAGCTGTATCCTCTCTCGCATTCCTTTTACGCTTTCTTCGGATTTATACCTCGCCTCTCCGTCCTCCTGAGCTTGCGGGGAGTTCAATTATAAAGACAGATTAATCTATTTGTATCTATCTGCGATGATCAATCGCGAAGAAAATTATACGCTCCTCCTTCTTTTATTTCCCCGTTGCGCTCGGACGTGTCTGCGAAACCGCGTTATTTCGAGTTAATCGATCGATATCTATCCGCCGCGCGGTTATTACCACAGATACACATCGCTCGTACCTAGGAATCGTATTATTTCTCCACCGCTGTCAACGTCACTCCCCGCGGGCTAACGAGATAATTAAAAAGTAGCGGCGGGCCGAGCCGACGCGGCGGACGTTTTCCAGGCCGACCGACGCGACGGCGCGCGGAGAGCTTAGACCAATAAATTCTTTCCGGCAATTATTTATTTTTCTACCGCGATTCCCCTACGTTTTCCCCTTCCCCCTTTCGACTAATGCTTGATAGTTCCGCGCCCTCGTCACGCACGCACGCACGCACGCACAGATACCTGCGCTAAGTATCTGGGCGCAACCCGCGCATAAATACGCGCCGGATGAAATTGACCTACGTTATATGGAGGGTTGAGAGCGGGGAAGGAGGAGCAGAGGGGGGGGGAAACCCGGACCACGCGCGCGGACAGAGCCGAGCCGACGATGACGGAAAAATATTTGGCCGCCGAGCAAATTTTCATTCGACTGTAAACACCCGGCGAGCCGAAGCGGAAAAGCTCGTACGCGAACGACGAAAATAAATCTATATATCGCGGCGCGACGCGGAAGGGCGGGAGGGAGGGAGGGCACACAAGAGGGCCACCCCGGAGCCGCCCCGCGCCTGGTGGTCCGCAATTGCGTCATATCTATATAGCTGCCAGCGCGCGCTCCGATGATTACCCGCGCCCGCGTCCGGAAAAGCGGAGCGACGAGAGAAAAAAGAGTTAAACGGAAAAGTGGGAAAATAGACACGCAGGGGAGAAAAAAAAAAGGAGAACGGACTCGCCACCGATCGTCTTAGGAGACGCGTTTCCGCGGCCAAGGCGAAAATAAACGCGCGTCAGGTATTCCGAGACTTCGCGGCGGATTTTTCCATCATCGTGACGTTTTCCTCAAAGTATTAATCTTGTATCTTCTCGCTAATCTTCGCTCATGCTGAGGAATCATGTTTTAGCGACGAGGCGACCTTTCGCTCCGGGGAAAGCAGGATTATACTCGGACGATCGGTTAATTTAACCAAAAGCACTTGCATTTGTTTATATTAAACATATAAAATATTCGTTCTACTTATTCCTCGTGCTTGTGTCATTTTTTATCTACGCTTATACTTTCGCAGGCGCGCGGTGGAGCGATATCTCATTAGCGTTCCACCAGCGACGACACAGACCGATCTGCCGTTGTAATTATTTGCCGGCGCGACGAGAAGAGATGGGGACAAAATTGAAATCGAGACGAGACAGGGGAAGAGAGAGAGAGAGAGGGAGGAAGAGGAGGAGAGAGATACCGCCGAACGATATCGCTCGCGCACCACGAAATTTGCGGGCCGCGGGCTCGCCCGCTCGCGCGCGCTTCCGCAGAACCGCAATATGCATTGGTAATTACACCGCGATGAATTACACCGTGGAATGAGCGAAGCGTGTTACGTGCAATTGGCGCGAGCATTATAAATCTCGTCACGTGCAAACAGTTGGCCACCTCGTCTTCTGTCTTTCTTCCTCTCTCTCTCATTCTCACTGAATTCATACGCGTTGAGAATCTCAGATGAAAATTGTGCGCGAACGAGACGTGAGATGCGTCACATTTTTTTAACAACACGCCGTACAATTTTAATCTGTTATCACGCGCAGTGACGCGCAATAACGCAAGTGGAGTCGATTGAGCGTCGACAATGGAACGCCTTCAATTTTCGAAGACTATCACGTGTAATCCACGCGAGCACTGAGTCACGTCTTTACATGATAGTAACGAGTTTACTGATTTATCGGAAAGTGGTCCGACGCGCTCTCGATTAATTCGCGTCTCGTACGATGTAAATCGCGAAGAGAAAATAACGTAAATATTACGCTACTTATATCTGTCGCGACCAAACTGTCGAGCGGATTTGGTGACTCTCGGCCGTCATCGTCATTGTCACCGTGCCACCAACGCTTTCGATCTTCGGAGACGATTGGTATCATGACTCCGTCACCGTCGCTCTCGTCGTCGTCGTCGTCATCCTCGTCGTGACGCTCTGGTGCTTGACCGAGTTGACACAGGCGGTGGTTATTGGCACTCTGCGCAGGGCCGCCAGGGCTGTTTACGTACAAGCTGTACAAATATTATTTCCGGGCAAACCGGCCCGTCGATCATTACGAAACCCCAGGCGGAAAGTTTCAACGGATACTCCTTGCCCCGCTCTCCTATACCTTCCTCTTTGTATACACACAGACGTATACACACGTATATCGGGCTCTTGTGGTAACGTTGAGCCCTTTAAACCGACGATCCTGCGTCCCTCGAAACGACTGTCCTATATAGAAATTAGATCTATTGCCCGGATCGAATCGAGGATCTTCGAAGTCTTGTATTTAAAGATATATATGGAGCTTACACTGATCTTTGCTACACTAATAATAAAGCCGGTCATTATGTGTTCGCACTCCACGAAAAGGTGGCACGTCCCGGAATATTCTTTCCCAGGGGAAAAAAACTTTGATTCAAAATACGATAGAGAGATTACTATTGTCACGATCCGCGAATAGCGAAATAGCGTATTAAATCGTTGGGTCGTAATTCAGGTGTTGAAAGCCATTTGGTAATAAAAATTATTAAAATTATATAAAAAAATTATTGTGATAAGTGCATAGGTACGTGGATAAGCAGCAGCAATTCACTCAACTGTTGAACAGAACATCTTCTAAGAAGATGATACGAGTCTCTGACGAGATTCATACCTTGTGATGTTAAAGATTGTATTTTGTAAAAAAAAAAAGAAATATGTTTTAATATAAGAGAATTAATCATCAAGTCTGAAATTATAATCGACTGTTGAATTAGCAAAAACTGTCCATGCGCGCATAAAAAAGGGAGTTTCAATATCGCTTCTGTTTGCCTCTTCATCTATACATCTTTTTGTCACGCGTTCTTTTTTCTACGTTTTTATATCTGCGGTTTTTTCGCCGAGTCTATCTCGCGTCTAGACGTGTAAAATTATCTTTTATCACGGAGTCTGTCTATGATTAATTAGTGACCGTGAGGGTTCGTCGAGCACGAAGATTTCTATCGCGTCGAAGCGGCGCGACGTTAATGTCGGGAGTGTATTTAACTATTTAATTAATCGTCGCTAATCAATCTGGAAAAACCGCCGAGCTCGTAACTCGACTCGAGTGATTTGATTGTCGACATCTACCAATTTAAGGCCCGGCGGAGCCGTCAGATAAGAAGTATTAAAACGCCCGGCCAACTTGTTCAAATTCTCGCCGTTCTCGTTGAATTTTTTCTTCGAAATGTTTCAACGTTAATGTAAAATATTGACACTGAGCGATTCTTAAGCGCAATTAGTCGACCGACGACGGCGCGGCAAATAAGAAGCTTTTTGGCACACGCGTTATAGGTGACGCAATCCGGCTGACTTAATTACGGTCGTTAATTCAACCACAATGGAGTTCTAAATCACCGCGTTATCTCGTAAACGTATTTAGACTTAAACGCGTCTCATTTTGAAAGAACGTCGCGTTAACATCGGCTGTGATCGGTCGTAAAAGAAATCTTGACAAAAGGAGCGCGCGAGAAACGACGCGAGCGGAATCACGAAAATTCTCTCTCTAGAGATTCCGTGACTTTTTGCTTTCAAAGCGACGCGACGGAGGGGGATCGTTTTTGTCGCGCGGGCCAACGCGCCGCGTTTTGCTCCCGTCAAGTGAGAAAAAAAAAGAGAGGAAAAAGGGTATCGCGATCGTGTGTGCGCGCACGTGACGCGCGACTTGACACGTGTAACTTCGGGCAGGCCGAGCGAGCGCGCACGCGCGTTTATGCCCCGTGTACACTGTTCACAATAATGAGGAGTTTGCACAGACCGGGATCCCGACGTTCTTCAAACAGCGAGAGGCAAGGACAAACACGGCCCTATATGGACGGATGGACAAACACGACGTATGCGTTCGTGCTCGCTCGCTCGCTCGTTCGCTCGTTCGCTCGTTCGCTCGTTCGTTCGTTCGTGCCCATGTCGTCGGATCGGCGTTAAACTGACGCGAACGCGACGCCGAGTACCTATACCGCTACGAGAGAGCGAGCTCTTCGCCCTTCCCGCCGCGCCGCCACCGCCGCCGCCGTCGCCTCCGCTACGGAAACTATCGACCATCACCCTCGCTCAACAAGCACCATAAGCGATATGCTGGCTAACATTTGCCGGGCTAAGCACACAAATACGATACAGTGCTGTTTGCCCGGCCGCCAGTGGTACTCGATCGCGCCTACGATATCGCCGGAATCGGTATCGACATCGGCATCGGTACTGCTGTGCACTAACGGTTACATTCGTCTCGTGATCATAGAGATTTATGAATGATTGAATGGAGGCGATATGCGGAGCAGCGTCATGAGAGCGTCGAGATATCCGCTAGATCCTCGCGAGAGGAAAAGGGAAAGAGAGAGTTAGAGAGAGAGAGAGAAAGAGAGAGGGGGAGAAAGAGAGAGAGAGAGAGAGAGAGGCGGTGTAGCGTGCAGCGTGCGGCATGTGCCATCCTGGCGCATCCTGGCGTGACGGCCAGGTCAGCTGGTCGGTGGTTTGCGAACTATCTCAATTTGCCTAAGCCGCAACCACGGCGACCGCGAAAACCGCAACTTCCCTCGTCGTGGCCACCTTTGGACACCCGCCCCTTCCCTCCTCTTCTACCCGCAATTCCTCTCTTCCTCTCACCGCGACCTCCATCCGACTATCCGTTTCCTCTCTGCCTGCCTGCCTACCTATCTACCTACCTAACTCTCCTTTCTTCTCACGCTCGCCCGCGCCATTGTCGCGCGTCTCAGCTCCAATCCCAATTTCGAGAATTTAGCGAGTTCTGGTTCGTAATACGGCCCTCGACCGCACTGGCGGGACACGCGCGTTGCGTCTCTCTCCTCTCCGGAGAGATCGAATGACTTTGACCCTTCCTGCCGAGAGCGGCGACGCCTTGAAACACCGCGCTTATTGTTTCGAGTCAAGAATTCATTCATTCATTGTTAAGTTCAACGTATGTCATTAGTTTAGATGAAGAAGTCGGACAAACGTTAATTCTCCACATGACGCCGTCAACAGATATCAATGTCGTCGCTCGCCGCGCCGGGTAATTTACGGATCCGCCGAAGGACGCAATGTCCGCTTACGGAGGATGTCGTTAACGATATATATATATATATATATATTTATCACCCACACGCACGTATTCGTACGCGACACAGCCCAGGCGGCTCATAGTTTCGGTTGTAGCGTGTAATCCTCGCGGACACCGCAAACATGTAATTAACACTTGCTCTCTCTCCGCGCGCGCGCGCGCGCACGTGAGAGCTGCCGTTGCACCGTAGCTCTCTCGGGCTCGAGAGACGATAACCGATTGCCGGGCCGACTACGTGTAATCGCGCGTGCACGTACACGCGTTTTACGTGTGCGCGCGTCTACATCTGTACCATCTACTATGAACCCTCGCCCCCTCCCTCATGTGCTCCAATCTACCGCGAGCCTCGTATCACTTTCGCTTGAACGGCGCCACCCCCTGCCCTTTCGCGGTCGAACAGCTGTACGGAGTTAATTATTCGGGATGGGAGAGATCTCTCGAGGGAGGGGGAGAGGTGGAGCGATCGATCGATCCGTCGACGTTTCTGGGACACGGATCGATTGATATTGATACATACATGTCGTACCGGCTAGACCGACTAGCGCGAGGTTTCTCACGTTTGTTTTTTTTCTTTTGTCCGCAGGGCCCGCCGCAACCCAACCAGCCGTTCAAGTTCACGATCGCTGAGTCCTGCGACAGGATCAAGGAGGAGTTCAATTTTCTGCAGGCACAGTATCACTCGTGAGTATCAGCGATCATGTGCTTTTTGCCGACATCGATATCGTGGCTCCGACATCGCGCCGCGAGGGAAAAAAGAAGCACTTTGCCGTTTGCGACGTTCGATTCTCTCTTTCTTTCTCCTCTCCCTTTCTTTCCTTCTTACTTTTGTCTGAAACGCGGAAACGCGCGCGTAAGGACTGCGGCAAAGTCGTATCGCGCGCTTGCGGAGAGAAAAAGGTCTGGGAACGGGCGCAGCTGCCGGGCGCTCGGCGGAGTGCACGCTATATCCTGCAAACGTAGTTTGCCACGACAGATACGTAATGGCAGCTCGCGAATACACGAACTCGAGCTTCTCGAGTTTCACAAACGCCAGGAAAGACGGGCCTTGCATTTTTCAGCAGTGCACGCGGGCGGGCGCGCGCGCGGATCGAAACTTTTCTCGTTGTCCGACAGACGGTTTCTTCCTTTTCTTCGCTTTTTCTTTTTTTTCTTTTCGCTCGCCACGTACGGAGCATATTCTATTCGCGAAAAGAGAAAGAGAGAACGCGGTTTCCGCGGTTCGCGGTTCTCTCGTTCCCTCGTCTCCTCCTCTCTCGTCTCTCTTCCTTGATTCGAATCAACCTATAGACGAGTCGACTGTTTTCGCATGCGTTTCACGTTATGTTCTTTCTCTCTTTCCGCAGGCTGAAGCTAGACTGCGAGAAACTGGCTAACGACAAGATCGAGATTCAGCGTCACTACGTGATGGTAAGTGCAATCATCGCTGCGTCGTAAAGTTAGACGTGCCAGTTAGACGCCGTAACGTTTCCCTCGACTACCTCTTGCCTCCGTATTCCTCCTCCTTTTCCCTCTCTCTCTCTCTCTCTCTCTTTCTCTCCCTCGTCTCCCGTATCCAGAATAATCATGCTCGCTCGACCGCTAAACCACCTCGGCTTCTTAGCATTAATTGCATCCTCCAAGTCGGTGTCGGGGTCGGGGCTTTACATTGGCTCGTTACGTTGCGCGTAACGTAGTCAGATATACTACAGATACATGTATATGTATGTATGCGCTCGTGCATAGCTAATGACTCTAAGAGCCAGTGGCTCTCATCGAATTAGTCTACAATGCTCACACAAGCGCAGCTGTCTCGCACGTTTAATGACGGAGTAATACGCTGGTTAGGTCATGGCGGCCGACGACGGCGGCGGTCTACGTCTCGTTAATATTCGAGCGTCTTCTCCTATCCATGCGTCTCGCACCCGCGATCGGCCCACCACCGCGCTCTCCTACAGCGCGACACCAAAGAGAGAAAAGAAACGGACGAGGCGCCGCCGCGACGAAGAGTTATTTATGAACTTTCAAGAAGCCGTGAGAGGGAAAAAGTATCCTCGATCACTCGGGGAAGGGTTCTGAAATTTCTTCACGCGACTGAAGGATCGAAGAAGCGATAGGAAATGACGCTAAATTGAATTGAAAATAAACCTCAGATTTTCTAATCGCCATTATACAAATTGGCAACAATTTCGAGATCGCGCAACATCCGCGTTACGCCGTTAGTCCCTTATTTACCCTCTTCATCGGGAGCATCGCGATAATTAAATCGAAAACGCGGCGTCGTTGCGCGAGCTTTACGCTCGTGGCCGTCGATTTACCGTTACCGTTTTAATTTGTCGACCTAATCGGCGTGTAGGCACGCACTACTTTAAACGCAATTAATCTCTGCTTTAGTCCATTTGATACAAATGCTCCCTCCCTCTCTCTCTCTCTCTCTCTCTCTCTCTCTCTCCTCTTCTCTTCTCTTCTCTTCTCTTCTCACCACCGTTCGCCGCCGATGCGCGACGCTGTCCTCGTTAACGCGCGTTAAGGATGTTGCACCGCTCGCCGCAACGAACGAACGTTGTTGCCCCCGGGGAAAGAGTGTGCCATTGGCCGATGCCGTTGCCGCTACAGCCGGCCGATCTCAACAGTCTCCGTTAGCGCGCCCTCCATCCCCCGGCAGTCGTTTCCAGGGTCCTATCTCTTCCCTCTCTGCCTTCACCTCCGCCACCGTGTCTATCTCCCGGGTGAAATAACTTACTTACAAGCGCAATTAATTCGCTCGAGTAATTACTGGGCTAATGGCCCGTAAAATTAAGAACCTGTAACCCGGACGGTGCGCGTTTACACGCGTTCGCCTCTTCGTCTCGTACTTCTCACTCGCGCGCGCCATCTCTCTCTCTCTCTCTCTCTCTCTCTCTCTCTTTCTATTTCTCTTTCTCTTTGCAACTGCAACTGCAACTGTGGCCCACCTTTCAAATACACTCGGCGGACTGGAGTACATTATCGCGATTAGCAATAATTAATAACACGTTAGTGTAGTTGAAACGGCTCTCTGTTCGAACCGGCCGCAGGAGGATTTAAAGGAAATATCTGACGGTTTGCGATGCAATCGCCACCCTCGAAAAACATCCCCTATTTCTCCCCTAGTTGCCGAGAAATGTTGATTTCTTAATTAATTACATCACGGGAAATTGCCAGTTGCATTGATTTCCTAATTAATTAGAAAAATAAATCTCTGGAAATTTGCAAATTGCCATACGATGCTTTATAGTTAATTACTGAAATGTATTATGGAAAATTTCTCTGTTGCAGTATTACGAGATGTCTTATGGTTTAAATGTGGAGATGCACAAACAGGTGAGTTTGAACGTAAGTTTCATTCTACTCCGATCTTTTGGGGTTGCCGAGGAAAAATTCGGCTTTTTTAATCTAAATTTTTTTTATTATTTGCGCTCTATTTATACATTAAGGCAGTTTTGTTTTCCAAATACTATCATTACACTTGGGTGTGCGCGCGCGCGAGCATTCTGCTTCTATAAATCTTCATTACATTTTATTCTTATATGTATCATAATTTTTCCGACTTTACTCGTTGACTACCTTATCTTCTTTATCTTCTGATATCGTGATATCAATTCTACAATCTTCTTGTGTGCCTAGAATAAAATAGACTTCTCTATCTATATCTATATTTGTCTCTCTCGATATATCCATTCGCTTATTTATGACCCAATGTCCGGCAAACACGTTGCCGTTGGGCCATCAGGTTCAAAGAACGGCGAATGCATCTCGAGATTCTCATGGAGGACGGCGGAGAGAATCGTCGTCGCGTCGGTGGAAGGGCTCGGCTCCGTAAATATCGTCTCATTATTTCGTGCGTCTTACACGTTTCACGAGTGCTTTATTCTCGGAATACGCGCGCGTGCGCGTATACGCACGGATCGTAACTACCGCGCCGCGTCGCGAGGAACTGCGCGCGCGAACGCGACGAAAATAGAGGAACGCCCCGTTGACAGCGGATCGCCTCCCGGTCGGAAATATGTAGCCAGCCTCGCTCGTTACTCGCGCGTTTAAGACGACGAAGCGTTAGGTGGTCACCGCCTAACTCGCGCTTTCATTACTCACTCGACGCGTCTCTCCGTCCGTTGAGATATGCGGCCGGGGGCACCAGCCGAGACTGCAGCTGAGATTTAAACTATTATATGCTATTACCCCCGCGTGCGCGTCCCACATTCTATCTCGTTTCCGAGAATTCTTAATCCGCCTGTCGAGCCATATTGGCTAAAACGCGTATTCGCAATAAGCACCGAAAATAATCGAGAGGATCCGTGACGTCGAGTTTTCTCTTCACACGAGCCTTTTTATTAATCCCGTCTTTTTTTACGACAGAATAAATGTTAAATCTTTAAACTGTTCTAACCGTCTAGTCCAACGTATCAAATATACTATAACGGATTATATGTGTAATAGATTTCTTCGATTTATTTTATCGTAATTATATTTTCCATTTATCGTATACTTTTATCATCGTTACAGACGGAGATAGCTAAACGTCTGAGTGCACTCCTCACTCAAGTCATACCATATCTCCCTCAAGATCATCAACAACCGATCGCTACTGCCTTTGATAGGGCGAAGCAAGTCACGATGGCTGAATTAAATACCATAATGGGAGTAAGTACATAAATATAATTTAATGAGAAACATACACATTGTACGCGAACAAGCTATCCTATAATTTCCAAACCTTCCGGCAAAAATATAACAAATATAACATGAATAATTATTTTATCTTGGTTATTATTTCGCCATCGTTATGTTTTTCATGGCGTGCCAGATTTTCTTTATTCCACAGCCGCGATGATAAAACCGCAATTGCGCGCGCAACCGAAACGGAGTTGACATTCGGCAGACGCGTCGCGTATAATTAAATTCCGAGTTGATTCTCGCGCGCATGATTCGAATAATTTCTCAGTCCCGAGGACTTGTCATTGTTGAGACAGGCATATACGCCGAAAGAGAAGTTGATGCTTAAGGTTGAATCATCGCGAAAATTAATGTATAATGTTCTCGTTTAAATCTTCTAAATGTCGAATTATTGACACAAATATCGGTTTCGCGATGGAAATAATTTCTCTATTACGTTTGCATAATATCTTCTCACTTTGCAAAGTGTTTCCCATCGATAAATTAATGCCAAATCACGCGCGGAGCGAAAACATTAGCTAGATTTAACTCGCGGTGATGCGTCCAATCGAGACGCCTTTTATCGCGACGAGACCGCGCGGGGAAAAATGATCGCTCGGACAAGGCCGATTGCGGCACCAAACCGCAATCTCGCCAATCTGTCATTACGCGACGCGCGTCGCTGTATATATACGCGGGAATATAATTAGCGTGCTAGTATGTTACGGGCTGTCGAGTAGGGGTTCGTGGCGAAGGGATTCGCACGACGACGGGGAAAGTACGGGGGAGACGGGGGTGGTGGCACACAAAACGCCGCGCGCGCGGAGGGCAAGGGTGTGCGGCGCAGACCGAAGGGACGATGAAGGCAAATAGACAGAAGCGCTAACCCTCATGAATATGTATTATTCGGTAAACAGAGGTTGAATCAATATTTCGTTTAATAACACTGCGCGAGGAACGTATAGTCCTCCATCCCCCACTTGTCCCCCCCTGCCCCCTCCCTTCACGACCCCTTTCCATCTTCCTCCCGCTCACCTCGGGCGAAACGCGATGACGCGGTCGCGGGGGGCTCTCCGATCTTCCTCTCTCTCTCTTCCCGCTTGCTTTCTCTGTTCCCGCGCCACACGCGTTGCGCGTATTATTCACGGCGCGTTAAACCTCGTTTGGGACTATTACGTTTCGTTTCACGCGCCGGAAACGAACGCCGCGATTTTCGACGTGCACCGGCATTCCGCCGCGAGGGTCGCGCGATTTTTCAATCTCGCGATCGGAGATAACGCGCGAGTTTTTATCCTACGCGAACGTTTCAGGAGGGCGATATATTTTTTAACGTCATCTCCGTATATTCGCGATACCAGTCAGAAATTTTATTCTAAGCAATCACGTTGAATTATCGTCCGCTCTCTTGCCCATCTTCCCCGTGTCCATTTTTTATTTAATTTCATGTAATAAAATATACCTTCGCTACGTAGCGTAGCGAGTTTTTCGAACTCAATTTCGTTGGCCCATTATCGTGTCTCGTGATCGTGGTCCTTGGGAATCTTCGCACGTACAACAAAACCGCGCATATGCGCAAAATCGATTTGTACGAATGATATTTTGCACGCGCGGTTTACAGCAACAGAGGCCAGACATACCGCGGTTCCTTCAGCAAATGCACGCTCAGCAAATACCACCGGGGGCGGCGATGGGTCATCCGGGTCTACCTGGACTTCCCGGATTGGGGCCAACTGCCGGTCTTCCGGTGCCAACTTCCGCGTCCGCGGCTTTGCTCGGTCTCGGATTGACTGGGACGGCCGGCGCGGCCCCCGGGACGACCGCCGCCGCGCATTCCCTGTCGATGCTCGTCAAACCCGAGATCCACCGTGGTCAACCGGATGACCTGAAGAGCAACGGCGGTAAGTCGACTCTGTAACTCCCCGATATCTTTGATATGCGGCATAATTGTGTCGCTATGTCAGGTGACTCGAAACCGCTTCTCGCATTTCGCAGATTTGTGAATAAATTCAGAATTTTTATCTCCTATTATCTTTTATCCTGACGAAATCCGGTTATTATACGATTATTCGTTGAGACAATTTCATGCTATTTGATTCCATGCGATTCGAAAGATAGCGCTTTGCAATTGATCTTTCTGTCTTTTGCGATCAATGTACGGGAACAAAAGAAAATTTTGAGTAAAATTCCGATTTCTGGTCACGTTTGATTTAACAAGTGAAATTGATATAAAAAATATTGTTTGCAAAGCGATATATATATTTTTCTGTTTTATATAACATTTGAAATGAAAAAACTGGTATGAACATATATATGACATAATATCGGTTACATAACTTTTCGGTATTATAGGGTATTATAACGATATTATTACTATGTTATATTATTGAAAACATTAATATATGAAATTATAGTTTCTGCTCTCGTAATGCAAGTTCAAGGACAAACGGACCTAAAGTTTCTCTTGCAAATTTAAAAAAAAAAAAAAGATAATTAATCGTAATCGTAATTAATTGCAAAGTTCCGAATTTATATATCTTAATTCGTTCGTTTAACCTGCTTTGTGAGATATACATCATGAGTACACTACAAATCCAATTGATCTGATAACATTAACATTCAATGATATTCAATCATACATGTGTATAATCCATTATAATACCGAAAAGTTATATGTATATGAATATATATATGTATCAGTATGAAAATTTCGGTTATATGTACTGGTATTTGGGCGTTCAGTTTCGGTATATAATTAAAGATTTTTAGCAACGTGGTTTTGAGAATAGAGATAACAAGTGCTAGAGCAAAATTATTTCAGTCTCTGATTTATCCTACACATAATCACGTGAGAGAGGAAAATGTCTACCGATCGTCACAAAGTTAACGAAGATCGACGAAGGGCGGGAGAGGTGTAGACTTACGCACACATACACACATATATATATTTTTTATATGTATATATATGCGCGTATATAGGCGAGACTTTTGACGACCTCTCTTTTTCTCTCACCGGGAAATGTTCAAAGCACTTTATTACGGGTATCCGCTTTCGGCGGAGCGAGCGTGTTTGCGTCACCCTGTTAGCGGACGCGCTAGCGGCGGTTTTCAGCGAAAAGCGCGCATAAATATGCATGAAGATCATTTATATGGGTGCCATCCGGGCCCCCCGTCCCCTCTGCTCTCGCCCTTCTACCCACCCCTATGGCTACTGACCGTCGTTTTACGACGCAGCACGTTATTAACATTTTATCGATACTCGACATTCGATCGTTCTCAATATACTCGCGCGATTCCTTCGTATCTTATCGCACCGACATACGTTTATATAACTTATAACATACCGGATCGTACGGTTTTAAAATTGAAGTATTTACGTAGGTGATGGGGTCCGATTAGCAATCTGGTATATTCATATGGAAACCTGTATGTTTAGACACATCGTTTTGATTCGCAGCGTAGATTGCGATACTATATGTGCATCTGTTTGCTTTCAGGTCTGAGTTCGACGGAGGACCGACACGTGAGTAACATCTTTTTCCATTATATATATATATCACGATGAATTATTTAACTTGCGACGTTGAAACGTCGTGAATCTCAAAGGATTGCGCGAATGCGATCGTTTCTCGTTTTCCCAATGAACACACGGAATTCACCGTATAGCATCGCACGCATTGGCATGTCGATATTTCAGAGATTAGTCAAAATAAAAATGTATGAGAATACGATATACGATACAGTCAAGTTTCCACGAAGTTAATTTTAAATTATTTATTAAATACAAATTTGCGTCTGCGAATACGTATATTGCGTCGCTGCGGAGAGAACACTTGTTGGAACAAAGATTTCGTTAAAGTCTTTCATAAGTTAAGCGAACCGTTTACGGAGACTATTTGTCGCGCTTTGCAAAAGCGATGTGTATTTTGTTATACGGTGTATATACGTGAAAACGCGTACGGCTTGTACAACGTACCCTCGACCGAGTGGCACTTATCGCGGCCTCGTGTATTACACGCACATTACGCGCGTGTAACTTGACTCGCGCGCGCGTCAAGAGTGCAACGAGCGCCGCTTCAGCGTACTTGGCGTACGAGTGCATACGTGCTGCATATTGCAATTTATACTTTCGACCGGCTCGCGTACGGGGCGCGAGGAGGGGCGTTATAAAGTGGCGAGAACGGGAGACAAAGAGGACGGCAGCGTCACTTTACCACCGAGCCTATTTGCATAATTTTCAAGTATCCCCGGTTTCTCTTCCCTCAATCGCGAGACTTCTGAAGAAGTAGGCTCCGCGCACTTGTGACTTTTTTCCCGTGACGAACGCGTGACACGTGCGTGCGAGACGATTGAACGTAACGCGACACAACGTGATCCACCGTGTGCGAAAGATAAACCGTCGCTCAATTTAGAAATTAGATTCCAAGAACGGACGCGCCGTACGCATTCTTTATCTGAAAGAAGTCGCGCGCGTCCGTGCCCCCTCGAAGCCGGCGAGCCCTGGCGCGCCGTAGTCGCGGTAAAAAGGAAGGCGAGAAAAAATAACGTCGGGCAGAAGGAAGGGGTGTATCTTGTATTACGGGTTTGCCGAGTCTGTAATCATCGCGGGACCGCGAAACGCCCATCGACGCCCTCTCATTCCGCCTCTCGCCATTCTATTTTCTTCTCTTCTCGCCCGCCCCGTTCGTCCCCCCGCGGGCACCACTTTTCCCAGGGCCCAACCGCCCTCTCGCGCCCCGCGATCATGCGGTTTTTTTCTTCTCTCGCTGGCGCTTCGTCGATGCGCCCGTTCTGTAATCATTATCGGCTCTCGCAGCTGGACCGCGGATGCGCCCGCGCCTCTCCTCTTCCGTTTTCCCTCTTTTGGCCGTCGCGTTTCCCTATTCGTTTCTCTCGTTCGCGCTTGTTTACCTACGCATCTCTCGTCCGAATTCCATTACAGATTGACCGACGATGCGGGCTCGCCGAAACGCGAGCAACGAGACGAGCGCCAACTTTTCCGCCAGTTCCCTCCGTCCTCCTCCCCGCGTGGAAAAACTTACACGTGGGAATTTATCATCAAGACGCGCGCTAATATTAGATCCTACGCGAATTCTCCGGCACGTTTGTATTTACGCTGGATTTTCGATGGTCTGGTATAGGTTTGCGCGCATCTCCGCAATTATGCTAACTCGTAAATTAGCAGATACTATCGCGCGCGCACGATATCATCGAGTAGGCTCGTTCTCTTTTAACATTTTTTTTTTTTGAGCACTTTTTTTTACGTTCGTTTGCGAGCGCTATTTATATCATGCAATTCATCCACTCCATATTTATCTTCAAATGTATGTACACCGTTGCTTCGTTTGAGGGGATTTTTTCCGGAGCGCATGATAAATAATGCTTAATAGATAGAAAATAAATAAATAAATAAATTTTGCGAAGCACCGTCGACCAGAGACACACGATTTTATATCGTACGCGCGTATACCGACGCGCTTCATGCCGCTCGTTAAATTGATATTTCATTGAAAAGTGTCCACAGATGAAAAATCGGCGCGGCCGAACGCGATGGAAGTTACGTTTTAATACGTTCGCGACGAGTCCGGATATCGGGGCGGGCGATAGTAGGGTAAAGTCGAAATCGATTATCGCGGGCGCTCGCGTGACGATTGATAATAACCCGCGCCGACGCCGGTAATTACGGTTTTGTCACGTTCGTCGGCGCCGCAGGGAATATGTGGCTAATCCGTTGTTCCAGCCTGTACTTGCCGCGCGGTGTCTGTTGTTAAACGAGATTAACGATATCCGCGGGAGATTAACAGGGTGGGAGACGAGGGGGCGAGAGGGAGAGAGAAAGAGAGAGGAGGCCCGTATAACCCGTTGGAACGACGCGTATCTTCATCCCGTGTATCGCGTGTTCGGTTTACGGCGGCATATACCGCGTATCGCGTACGCGAACGTCTATCTTTGAGGAGAGGCTGGCTTCCCTCCCTCTATCATGCGTCGTAGAGAGCTGTGGAATATCGACAATTCGCCGCGAGATTACGATTCGATGTTCCTCGCTCGGCGATCGGGTACACGCGTAAATGCGCGCGGCGATCATTTATCTGCCGCCCTTCGCGTAATAAAGTGGCGTCGCTATACACCGCGTGTGTTTTACAGCGGGGCTCGATATCGCCGGCCGACAAGTACAACCGATCGCGCACGCCGCAAGAGGCGACTCACACTCATCATTCTCATCACTCTCAGAATCACCACGATCACTCGTTGCACCCGATGAAGAAGATGAAGAAAGAGCACGAGACGTGTAAGGACGTCGTACATGTAAGTGCTTAATAATAAAAAGATTATCCCATTCGTGTGGCTTCGGTCCGTGCAAACAAACTGTACAATCATTAATCGCAAGATTCAACCCTCGTTGTAGAACGAGGCGATAGCCATAACTGTTTAGTGATCGACCTTCGAGACGTAGTCTCGACTCACGAAACTGCTATTCGAATAACGGATATAGGAAGGGTTATTTAAGTTAGCAAAAGAAAAAATCGGATAAAAAATTTTCAAGACAAAAAATCAAAAAACCCCCTAATTCAAAAACCTCTTCTGTACTCTGAAAATTGAAAAGTCCCTTTCTGTCTTGAAAATTTTTTATCTGATTTTTTCTTTAACTGAGAGAGAGACTCCAATCGCTTCTTCTTACCCTACGTTGTTGACACTTCTCTCACTTAACAGTACATAATTTTCTCGTTGAAAAGAATATTTTTTCTTTCAAAATTTACTTTATTTTCGCTCACAACGCTCTTCCGGAGAGTTTGGGATTAAAATCGACGTTTTGATTGGTCTTTTGCCCGAGCGATAATAGAACGGTAACGTCCACCAGATCGATATTGCGCTGTAGCCGATGAAAAAAATCACATTACTTGAGGGACAACAAGTTTAATCGCGCGCGCGATCATCGGTGTTTCTTTCGCACAGAGTGACGGCGAGAAGAGCGACCAAGATCTAGTAGTGGATGACGCGAGCGACGGGTGTCCGAGCCCGGTGATGAACGGCGTGACATCGCCTCGCGAAAACGGCCTCGACAAAGTTTCCGTGGTTCCGTCGATGGGAGCCGGCGTGCAAACCGTGACGAAGAAGGACTTGGCGCCGCATTCCCCCAGAAGCGGCACGAGCAGCAATGCGAGCACGCCGTCGACCAAGAAGATGGAAGACCGCGAGAAACCGGCGACGCCGATTTCGAAGCCGTACACACCGACGTCAGGATCTGCGACGGCGGCGATCAGCGGAGGGATAAAATCGTCAACCCCGGGCAAGCTCTTGCAAGGACCGTCGGTACCGCCCGGTTCGGTACCACCCCCTGCGGGCGCTTACCCGAGCCCGTTGCACTATCCGCCGCCCGGTCTGCCACCGCCGCATAATCTCGCGCCGGTAGCCCACGGCCAACATCCGCATGTCGATGTGATGGCCGCTTACAACGGTTACGCGACACCTCGACCTCCCGCCGCTTTGCAACAACTGTACGATCCGCATGCGGCTCTGAGGACCTCCGTCGGGACACAAGGAGGAAAACCGTGAGTACCCATATCCATTTCAAAGATCAGCCGACCGGACTTTCTAATGCACGAGTCGAGCGAAAATTTCGGTCGTTCGTTAATCCTACATCTCTTCACTGATAGAAGTCACTAATAACGCGTGGTGATCGAACGGGGTAAAATAAATAAGATAAAATTAATTAAAATTTAGATACAAGTTTTTTTTCAAAGTTGAACTGCGAGTAAAATTAATCAGCTAAATGTAAATCTTGTCTGAAATGAAATTTGAGTTATACAAATAATATAATTGATATCGGAGTTCGGGGAGAGACTTATCGTGATCGTTATCGGACGGGATTTCGCAGTGCGTACAGCTACCATGTGTTGAGCGACGGACAGATGCAGCCAGTGCCGTTCCCGCAGGACGCTCTTATGGGCCCAGGAATACCGCGCGTCGCGCGTCAGATTAGTACCCTCGATCACGGCGAAGTAGTCTGCGCGGTGACGATCTCGAATCCAACCAAGTATGTTTATACCGGTGGTAAAGGCTGCGTCAAAGTTTGGGATATCGGCCAAGCAGGTATGACCGACGTAAAGCCTGTCTCGCAACTCGACTGTCTGCAGCGCGAAAATTACATCAGGTCAGTAATAGCGAGCGAAACGAATTGAGAAACGAGATATGCGTTGGTGAGAAATAAACGCAAACCGCATGTGCTCCGTGTTTCTCTCTGACGCAGATCGGTCAAGTTACTCCCGGACGGTAGGACGTTAATAGTCGGCGGCGAAGCCAGTCAACTGAGCATCTGGGATTTGGCCAGTCCGACACCGAGGATCAAAGCCGAATTGACCTCCTCAGCGCCAGCGTGTTATGCCTTGGCCATTTCCCCGGACTCGAAGGTTTGCTTTAGCTGTTGCAGCGATGGAAACATCGCCGTGTGGGACTTGCAGAATCAGACCTTGGTCAGGCAATTCCAAGGACACACAGATGGAGCGTCCTGTATCGACATCTCCGCCGACGGGTCGAAACTCTGGACGGGAGGTCTCGACAACACCGTCCGTTCCTGGGATCTACGGGAAGGCAGGCAGCTGCAGCAGCACGATTTTAGTTCACAAATATTCTCCCTTGGCTTTTGCCCGACCGGCGAGTGGCTGGCAGTCGGAATGGAGAATTCGAACGTCGAGGTGTTACACGCCACCAAGTCCGACAAGTATCAGCTACACCTGCACGAGTCTTGCGTACTGTCGCTGAGGTTTGCCTCTTGCGGCAAGTGGTTCGTCTCTACAGGGAAGGATAATCTGCTGAATGCCTGGCGTACTCCTTACGGAGCATCGATATTCCAGGTTAGTTAGTGTGTGTTACTTGATTATAATCTCCTTTCATATTCGTATTGATCATAATCTCGTTGTCATCGATAAACGATGAAGAAAGGAGCTTTGTAATAATTGACGCGAAACCTGTTTAAACATATTACGGTCATTTTTTGTTATCAGAACCGCAAACCGCGAGAAGAGAGAGAACTGAGTATTTAATTTATTGGACCGATTTAATTTGTCGAACGAGTCAAATCGGGAATGTTTTGAGAATATTAAAAGAATACGAAAGAATGCACATCTGACATTTAAATTCCGATTCCATCTGCGCTTATTACAAGCCCCGGCGTGCAAATTACACAAATTACGTTCGCACCTTTCACGCGGAGAATAAGTACGGTGTTACGCGCGCGAGACAAGACGGCGAGACGAGGCGTCGAGGACGATCGCGAAACAGCTCATTAAGGAACACTATATAATTACGCGATATAAACGAGCCATCGAGTCGTGACTCGATAAGCAGAAAAAGAGCTGATTTATAATGCTTATGAATAATCGTGTGCGCTACGTGCTGAACGTGCGATTTCGTTATCGAGTGGAATTCGAAGTGGCACAATAATAATAATAATAATAATAATAATAGATATCTGCGTGGCGGGGCTCGTAAATATGTTTACGTTTTTTTGACGTTTCGTAAAACGAGCACAAACCAGCACAAGCGAGTCTTTCCTCTTTCGAATTTTTACAACGTCCTATCTTTCTTTCTTCTTTTTTCCCCCCTCACTTTCTCCGTTCCCTTCTCTCCTGTTTCTCTCCTCTTCCAACGCACCAGCGAGCAGCGCGCTGTTATAACTGTTATCGCGTGCTCACTCGACGATATGTTTGTCGATTATATTTACAGGCGAAGGAATCCTCGTCGGTGCTTAGTTGCGATATATCGACGGACGACAAGTACATCGTCACCGGTTCCGGCGACAAGAAGGCCACCGTCTACGAGATCGTATACGTATGAGACGTATATAGCGCCGTGTGAGAGGCTATCAACTGGCCATTCCATGGAAACAGAAACGCTCGCCCAGAGTTCTTTCGGGACTATTATACGACTGGTTACGACGGATGATGTGATACCGTTGTTGGTTCTCTTTGTTATCGCTGTTGTTACTCGCTCGTTGATAAAAGAGAGGGATCGTCGGCGCGAGGCCGAGCCAAACGGACACGAACAATTTCGGTATTTCCCAGATTTTAATGGTCGCCAATGTTCCCCGCCTCAAAATAAAAATCTGGAAAATACACTTAAGACTGCGATACAACGACGTAAATAAGTATAAGAGCCTAGTGAGAACGCGATAACATCATTTCACGAGGTTATTTTGAAGATTTGACAGAGAGAAGTATTTTTTTTCTCTTTAATAATTTCTAATAAAATATTTGCAGATTATTTACACTTGTTATTCTTTTGTCAGATTGCGATAGAATAGAAAATCGCCGTCTTTCATGAATAAAGGATTTGTCTCGTTTCAAACAGTGAAACAATATTGATTTAAACTCGTAAAATTTCATAATATAACGCTCGGAATGAAGAAGTTGTGTTTACTGCCCCTACTGCCGATTGTTTCGTATTTTTACATGCCATTGCGATCCGTTTCGCTTGGTGCGCACGATCGCTCGTTGATTGTGATTATTCATGTCTCTTATCTGTACATTTTGTAAATAACAGGTTTTAAGTATACCGTGATATTTTTCTACTACACCGTAAGAGAGCGAGATGACAGATGTGACAATTGTAAATATCTCAAGATCAAGACATTTACAAGAGGTCAAGACGTGAAAAAAATCGATCGAATAAATGGCATACGATAATTGAGAATGGCTTATCTTGTCCTTATTTAATATCTCCTTCCCAAATCTTCACTTTTATCTACGTAGAAAAATAAAGTATCCCTCATCGCTGCTATTAATTTGCTTGACGCATCGACATAATTCGGCATCCAGGAAAATGCGAAAAGTTAGTGATGATAAAAGGGGGGTTGGGGCGAAACGGCGAGATGACCTGTCGCACTGTTAAAAACAAAATGATTAGTGGCCGGCACGCCGATAAAAATCGGGGCTGCGCACACAGCGGGCAGGTGTCGGTGGAAATAAAAAAAACAAGGACCACTCGTTACTCCATCCACGCGAACATTGTTAGCGCAAAAAAGAGACATCAACAATATTTAGTTGTATGTTCCGGGGCACACGGCGCGGGCAGCGGCGCGGCGGATCGTCATGAAAATTACGACACTATTTCACCGATAAAAAACAAAAAAAAAGAGAGCAGTCACCGCCGGTCGCGCGGGCAGCGTGCTGACGGTTTCGTGATTGTCATGAAAACAAATCGGGGGCGAGCTCAACCTCCCACGCGCGCGCGGGTGTATACGTGTATAAAAAAAAGCCACCTTTTAAAAAAAAAAAGGGAGGAGAAAAATATACGCGTCGAGCATAGTCGAAGTCAAAACGATTGTATTTACGCCTTCGTATCGCGTGGTGAATCCGCGCGCGAGTCCGCGCCCACCCGGTGTATAATTAGCGAGGCGATGCATGCACGCGTTCAATGGAAGGTTCATCGGCGTAATGTTATTATAATAGTGGCACGTTTTGCATATGTGACCGGGTGGCGGTCGCTTCGGCAGGGGAGAAGAGGGGTCAGGGGTTAGCACGGATCGCACGGACGAGGGAGGAATAAAGTCGGGTAGGGTGAGGCTGCGATGACGGAGGGGGCGAGAGAGAGAGGGGGGCGGGAGTGTGGTTTTACGCGGGTTTTGCCGGACGTATTTGCATGGTAATCATATGCGGCGCGCGCGAGCGAGCGCGGTGCAGGAATGACGCGGCAAGGGATCGGGGAGGGACGACCACGGGGATGAGGAAGAGATAGAAGAGGAGGTGGAGGAGGAGGAGGAGATGACGGTGGTGGTGGTGGTGATGGTGGTGGTGGCGACTATTGGAGCCGCGAGATTTGTATATCGCGGCTAAATGCGTCGGTTATTACGGTTAATTCGACGATGGGCAACGGGGCAGGTTACGCGCGAAGCGTATTACCGCAGTTTATTCGCGCCGGATTATTCGCGTGCGTAAACTTATCGCGTCGCGTTGCTCGCGACGGCCTATAAAATAATGTCCGCGACAAATACGTGTAACAACAATCGGCTGCATAATCCTTCCGTTTCAATTCTGCCTTTTTTTTATCTCAATATTTCGCTTTCGCCGTCCCTCGCGGCTCGGAAATGACTGCTAAAGTATATTCAAGTTGATTCGAAGATTATTGCGAATGTGATTATCCGCACGGCGCGCCATCGTCATCGTCATCGTCGTCGGGCGGCATCCTTCTGGCAGTACGCGATCCAACAGTTGGTGGCACTCGTACAAAGAGCTAATTTTCCCTCTGTCCGTCATGTCGACGGCAACTCTCTGCGCGGCACCGGCACGGCACGGCGCGGCGCGGCGGCAGCGCGCACACAACGCGACAAATTAACAGGCACGCAAATGAGCGAGTTCACGCGCTCGCTTTCGCGCTTGCCCCCACACAGCTCTCCTCATTACAATTGGACACTAATAAACGCGCCAACGCGTGTCCTCTTTCTCTCTCTCTCTCTCTCTTCATCACTCCGCCCGTTATCCCGAGTACGATTATTCTCCTCTTCGTCGACTCTCCTCCCCTGGTCTCCAACGCGATGCGAAGCGTCGCGACGCCGCGCGCCGTACCGCGTCCTACATTGCGTCACATAGATGGACGAGATCCTTTTCGGCGCGAGAGTGATCCGCACGTCGAATCTGCGTCGTCGAAGCGACAGATGCGAGAATGCTCGCGGCGCGGCGTCTCGTTTATATAGACCGTAGTCTCCCGCTCGCACGATTATCGCTCGATTTCGAAATTAGTGCGATAAGCGAGCGGCAGCGACATTGTGGACTACCTGTCGTCGTACATGCGCATCGTTCGGAGGTGGAAAGGACGATACCCGGGGACGGCGGAGAGCGAGAGAGAGAGAGAGACGGCGGCGATGGCGGTTATCCAGATAGCAGATAGCTAGGACGGTGGTCTCGTTTGCGGCTTGACCACCCTTGCGGCGCACTGCCCTAACCGCCCCTAACCACCGTACCGCAGCCACATGGTGTGTGCAACTGGCGATAACGTCGCCCTCGCTCGCAAGCCCGTCGCAAGCCGATGCGTGTCGTTGCACCGGCCACGCTTTCGTGAACGATCACCCCCATCCCTACCCGTTGTTCGTTCCTGTGATCGTCCCAACACAGAAAATAGGATGTCCCAGACCTAGCGAGTCAACTTTCGTCCCCAAGTCCTTTTTACCGACTCCGGGGTCGATGTTTCATTAATGAAAACAGTCGAAAAGAGTCATTATCCCATATTGTGAAACATTAATCATTCATAGCCTTATGTTATAAATCCTGGTATTGTAAACCTGTCCAAATAAAAGATGCAGTTAAACAGAGCTAATGTTAAGTGAAGAATATAAGATTCTGCTACCTATTCGCATGGTCAGTTACATAATTCCCAAAAAGTTTTCTCCATTGTCAGTCGTTTATGACTCAGAGAATCGTCGGCGTCTTGAAGGTTTCCAGTTTCCGTTAAGAGAGATGCAAGTCGACCGAAAAATCTTAGACGAAGGACAGATCCAGGATCAATTTATTTTGCCAGGAATTAGAAAAAGTCGGATCATCTCGGCTATTTAGTAAGTCTACAAACGAAACGCATAAACTTCCCCGGAAAGGATCATCTCCGTGACAAGAATAACTGCTGTTTGTAGACCGGCAAAATATTACGAGCGGCCGATGAAGCTCCCTGTTTAACGACTCACTATTTCGTGAGAAAGAAAGAACCCCCGTTGCCTTTACGTTTTCGAGGAACGAGCGAGGACCAGTTGGACCGCCATAAGTGAAATCCTTCGGATTTTTCGGTTATCTCTATATTCCCGATGTTCCTTTTTCCCCCGAACAGAGATCAGCTTTTCCAAACGCTCGGTCGTTAACCGGTCTAATCGTACCGAATGCACACCGGAATAATAGCAGTAACAAGTAGATAATAGTAAAAGCCTTTACCGTCCCCTTCGAAGCAAGACCCTTCAAGAATGTACGGTAAAGAACGGACGATTATAGTGAGTAAAAAGCGAGTTAAGTTGCTAACGAATATTAGTCTCATTCGGAGTGATTGTCGGCAAAGTGACGGCTGCGCCGACGAGACACAGGAAGTGTAACAGCGTTAACATTTGGCGCAAGAGAGCTGATCTCGTATTCACAGGCCTAGAGTGACATGGGTTCGCATTTATGCGCTGACACGCGGTATAGTGCGCGGCAGATGATAGAAGAGTGCGCGAGCTGAGCGATTCCGATTTCCTAATTGCGGAACGGGAGAGGGAGAGGGAGGGAGCTTCGTAGAACGTCTCCAGTATATTACCAGACGTTCAACGCTCAATCGCTGTTATTAGTATTATGTCAGTTAATTACATTGTAAAACTATCAATCATCATTAGCATTACAATTACGATAACTACATTGTTGTCGGATCGATGGAAAAGGAGGAACCAAGACCGCTGTACCGCATTCTCGAGGAATTGTAATTGGACTTAATGTTGCGCGCATATATCGATACTTTTTGATTCAAGTGAAATATTCTATACTTGGGATGCCCCCGCGTCTGTCGCGCGTGTTCTAAACGCAGAACGTAAAGTACATCAAATATCACGTGTACCTACCACTCGATGGCCTGCGGCGCATGTGCTTACATGTGTACACGCCGATGCAGGACGTACGTATGCATACGCGTGCATACATCGCGTAACCTCTAGAACGACAGAGCGGGACCGTGCCTAACAAACCGCAACGATAGCTACTAGTCGTCGTCGCGTCTCGTCGCGTATGCGCGTGTGTACATACATATACGCGAAGCGCGAGCGCCGTTGAATATTTGACGATCGGCTTCTTCGCGTTTCTCTTCGCCGCAAACGCGAACGCGACACGCGGAACTTCTTCCGAGATTGCTCTCCTCTTCCGTATCGTACTTTTCGCGAGCGACTAACCGCATCGTGCAAACCCACGTCTACGACGACGACGACGATGATGACGATGGCGACCAAGAAGAAGAAGAGGAGAAAAAGGGAGAAAAGAACGAGCGGACGACGACGTCGGAACAGCATGATCATGCGCATATACAGGCGGAAAAAGCGAGAGGAAAACAGAGAGAGAGACGGGGAGAGAGTGGGATCTATGAGATAGCTGTGCGGCCGACACATACGGTAGTCGCAGATCGGCGAGGTAGACAAGGGGCTCGAGCAAGCAAAATGGAGGGCAGGCGAGCGTGGAATATAAAAGGAGGAACGTGAATTCATATCTCGTCCGAGGGATCTCTCTCGCTGCGCTACGCCGCTGAGAGACTGCTTTCGAACGGACGAGCGAGCGAGCGAGAGACGAAGTAAGTGGGATTGGGGAATCGAGAGGCGAAGGAAAGGATAAATCCCCGGACGCGCGGTGCAGGGGGGGGGAGAGGGAGGACGAAGAGAGGACAAGGACCAGCGGGAGAGAAGAGAGATGGGCGAAGAGAGATGGGAAGAGACCCGAGAACAGCCGCGTCCGGCTGTGTGTATACCGCGGATCCGCGCGGACTCCGGGACTCCGGCTCCGTTCTATGCCGTCACTGAAGCGAGTCAGCCAATCTGCGCGCGGCACCGACCAATCGCCTGCCGTTCGCGACGAATACGCGCCCGAGCGCACCACTACCAGCCGCGCCGTCCCGCCAACGCCGGCGCACCTCTCCGCGCGCCCGCGAACTCCAACTCAGGCCAGTCGATGCCGAGCCACGCAAGGATGTAGGGATCTCTTTTG